ATAGTTGTAAGGAGACCTCCAAAATATTGCACTTCTGCAATTTTCGAAAAATCTGAGATTTTAATTCGCATGATATCTGTACCATTCTCTTAAGCGTCCTTTACGCAATCTGAGAACAAAGTTTAATGAAAAGAATTTGGAGCAATTTTTGTGAATGTTTTTGAGGCTTTATGTAAAGTACCCTCAAAAATAAAAATATTCATTTGAAATACCGGAAGCCGCAAGTTAGTTCATATCAATCGGGAAACATCAATTTTAGAGAAGCACGTTTAAGCGCTAGCGTTGACCACCCACGCACATTGGGATAAAATGACTAAAACTTGGTCAAAATTCTAAAAAATAAATCTAATTGACCATTTTTAACTCACAGATTGACTAATCTATTGTTGGGACTATTAAATCCCGTATGTACGAAAGGCCGGAACTTACAAGTGAATATTGTATTTGAGGTTGAATATAGGGCTCCATTGTGTATACGGCGTCACCCAAGCTGGACGGAAATTTTAGTGCGGAGTCGGAGCCAAATATTTGTGTTTTGTGAAAATAATCAATCAAATTTTGAAACGGAACGTGTTACAAAAGGTATATACTTAATTGTAAGCCCTTGCTTAATTATTTTTTCATGTTAAACACTTTTTTAAGAGATTATTCGAGTCGGTAAATAAGAATTGTTTTTTAAAAAATGACTGAAATGTTCAAATAAGTAACAAATCCCACATTCATTCAAATTTCTTGATGAAATTTCGAGTATATACTTCATGACCTTTTTAGAAAATCGTGCTAATTGACACGAATCTGATATTGACACATGATTAAAGCGGTGGCTGCAAAATCCTGTTTTTCTAATTTTATTAAACTTAATTTAAAAGTATAAAGGACGGTCCTTGTTCATAAAAAGAATATATAAATCGATATTAATTGAATATGAAGGATAATATACTAAAAAATATTGAGAAAATACAATTTTCTCTTTCAACATGTACCGCTTAACTTAAACAACAGACAATCCCACAGCAAAAAGCCAGAGCAGTCTATTGTAATCTTATAAAGCATTAAGACGAAGGCATTTTGTTTTCTTTGGTACATTCACAGATAATTTGAACATTAAAAATTGCATTTCGATATCGAGGGAAAACCAATATTACTAATAACTGTCGAAAAAAAAGTTATTTATGATGCGAATAGTACAAATTACATTTTATTTTGCGAGAAAGAGATGTTGCGTCACGAGGCCGATAGACCGAGTAGCACAATCCTACGAGAAAAATAAAACCACTTTTACCACATACATGTCATACAAAATTTTTAGTCAGTCTTTCATTTTATTTCAATGCAAATATCAGTAATTGGTACCATGTTACATTAACCCTAGATGACAAAGACAAGTACAAATGTACTAACATGTAACACATGTTAAATGAGGGTTTTATAGATACACCTAAATGACGTAAATCTACCAGCAGACACTTGCATTGTGCTGAGCACACATGGCTTTTGAGGAGCATCGGCTGAAGTAACTGGTCACGCGATCTTTATTACGATCGCAATCCACCCGTTATGATTGCTAAATGTTCAAAACAAAACTTAAATGTTACAAGACAAGGATTTTGTATTTATTATTTACTATATTAGCGAATAAATAACTAAAATATCACTAACGTAACTATAAAGGCGAAGTCTATTGGACGACGCTTGTTTATAGGGTGTATACCAGAAATATGTATGAGCATAAAAAACAACGATACGTGTATTTCACCTGCTCGTCACACAATGAAGCTAGACAGAAATTGAGAAACGGTGAGTGAGGAAAAGGGGGTGGGGTAAACTTTTGGCACTATTTGCGTCGTCTGACAGACGACGGCTTTGTAATCTAGGGTAAGGAACAATTGTCCGCGAACAGACAAAAGTATTTTTTTTATCTGAACATTCGGACACTCATTCACTGAACCTTTGCGAACATCTGAGCATTCGCGAACATAGCATGCATTGCATCTAAAAGTAAATGTGTCTAAAGTATTTGCCTTCTGATGGCTGTCCAAAGTAATGAGGCTTCCAAGAATCACGTAAGTGGGATTTGCTTTTTATTCCTGCAATTATTTTTTGTAATCCAAAAGTCTGGGAGCAATAAGATGCATTTCCTCAGAATATTATGCCATATCTCAGGCAGGAATGAACATTCGCGAAATAAACACAACGAGCAGTATGGAGGCTGACTGAATTTGAAAGAATTCTGAAAGCGTAGCACAAAGAATTTAATTTAGTGTTCAATTCAGTTAAATTGACGTTTCATTTAAGGTTTGGTCCATGGATGAGGCGACATCTTTAAGGAAAGAAAATACGGCTGTTTCAGTACATTTTGATTTCCGAAACCCACGTTGCAAACCAGAAAACGCGTCGTGTTGATTAAGAAAGGTTTCAATTCGTATCAGGATCTAATATTTTTTTTAAAAAAACGACAAAAGAGAAATTGGCCGATTATATGGAATTTAATTTTTGTTGCCTTTTTTGAAAATCGGCTTCATCTTAGCTGTTTCAAAAATATTTGGAAAAATCCCTGTGGAAAAGGAATCATTAAATGTGTGAGTTAACGGGTGTTTGACGACTGGCGTACAAGTCTTTAACAATCAGGAAATTCATCTAAACCGGTCGAATATTTACTTTTAGTCTACCGATTATTTTGAGAATTTCTTCGGATGAAGTTTCGGAAACGAACATGGTGTTTAAAATTTTTGGGGAAACATCTGATGTTGAATTTTGTGGCTGGAGACCCTTAGTGAAATCGGCAGCAATTCTCAAAAAGTATTGGTTAATGAAAATAGATACTGTTGCCGGATCGTTCACATTACTATCTTTATCTTTTAAAACAACATTATCTTCAAAATTTTTAGTTGATTTGGTCGAATTGTTTTGCCGCCAATCTATTTCCCGGTATCAACGACCCACAAACAATGGATTCTGAATGCACCACGTGTTAGACGAAGTAAATTCTATGTACATCAGACTTTATCCACATTTTCGTTACCAGGGCCGACCATACATTTTTCTGTCAAAAAATTGCGTTTTTTTACCGCATTACAATACTTTCTCTAATTCAATTTTTTTTTTTTTTTTTTTTTTTTTTTTTTTTTTTTTTTTTTTTTTTTTTTTTTCTCAATTAGAGCAAAGTACACTTATAAAATAGGCCCAGGTTTAATTTTCAGCAAAATGTCTGGGTTTTTGAAAACTGTTAAAGAATAAAAATGTTCAATGCTCTCCTACAACTACATTATTATTATTGAAGATAAGATATTTTTATGTTAAAATCTTTCTTCCAAATTAGATCTTTCAATAATTTCATGTGTTCTTTTTGAAAATACATGCAGAGTAGTTTTCACGTAATTGCGGGATGTTGTGAAAAATAAAGAATACTTCAAGATTTTCTCTACAAAAAACAAAACAGATTCAATTTTTTTGCTCAAATAGAGCAAAGTTCACTTAAAAATATGGCATAGATCCAATTTTCTTGAAAATCTCTGAAATTTCTACAATCATAAAAGTTCAAAATTTTTCAGTGCCCTCCTTCAGATATTTATTTCTTAATGCAAATCCATTTCTCAATATTAGATCTTTACATCATTTCATGCGTCAGTTTTTCAAAGTAATAGTATTTTCTGCCTAACTTTGAGAATGAATTAGAATCACAACTAAATTAAGAATTCATTGTAGCATTTAAAATTGAGTGCTTTAAGATGCATAACATCGGAGAAAGCCTCTTATGTTAAGATCCCTAGTGCTCATGTCCAAACACCAACCTGGATAAATATTTTTTTTACTTTTTTCCATATCACCACGTAATAATGTTGCAGAAAAAAGTGCCAATTTTTCCTTTAAGTTTTTGTAAGAGTATTCTGCACACAATACACTAAATTCCATTGAAATGGCAGAAATCCATTTTCTTTTAAACTTTCAAAATATTTAAAGTTTTTGATTTTTAATTAATTTTTTAACATCTTGTGGCTTATTTGAAGTGATGGTTGAAAGGTTAGTAGGATCAAAATTATAATTGCAATATTATAACTTTACATAACCGTTACAAACAATACAAGAAATATGTGCTGTTGTAGCGCATGTAGTTTTAATACACAATTGAAGTTAAGAGACCAGCATCTCGACTCGTGGCAGCAAGTTTGTCTAAGTGATTATTTGGATTCAGTGTTTGTCACATCCTCAGATCCACATTCATTAAATTTGTGGAATGCTGAAATGGCAGCAACTTATCAGTTGACTGTAGACTCTCTTTTATTTTTTGGGTGGACGGGACAGAACACACAATAACCATAATGAATTATAAGAATGTCAAATGTATCTTTAAATAATTATTTCATTTCATATTTATCAGATTAAATGACTGCCCCTGCCTAAAACTTCAGATTTTAAATTAAACCTTTGGTCACAAGAACAACATACCAAAGATTTCCAAAGTCATTTCAATTTCAATATTGCCTAACACAGGAGATTTATCATAGTGTGATTTATCAAAATATTACAAAAATGACCATGATTTTGACTGTTTAAAAAACAGAACATTTTACAATAATGCATCACCACCCCTCGCAATAAGATAGACCCAGACTCTCAACCAATCTTATGATGACCACACAAACATGCAAAAGTGTAATCCCTCACCTCAGGTGATAATTGTTTTGAATAAATTGAGAAAAATTACAAAACAATATTGGCTCTGGGGTGTATGGCTTTCCTGATCCATCACTGGTAGAAAGATATCAACACCAAAAGCTGTGGTATCGTGTAACACAATCTGGCAGACAGCAGTGCTTTTGCAAATATGTTGTATACAGCTAAACAGAAGTTTCAAAAAGTCAGAGTACAGGTATATACTGAAAAATTAAGATGTATTCACAATACTGGTGAGTTATGATTGAACAATATAATTAATACAATCATTGTCTTTTCTCCAGGATTGGGGCAGCAGACCTACCTTACATGGAATATATGTTTGTATCAGTACAAAAACGTAATGTAAAACAGGTTTAAAAAACTTAGAACATTTCTAAAGAATAGCACATTTTTATTTCAAAATGCAATGCTTTCTATAATGACTTTCCTGAACCTTTTCTTACAATCACAATGATTTCCAATATATGTTTGTCATCAGATCACCTCTCAATGTGGCTTTCATGTATTATTCTTATATTCTATTTTGTTTCCAAAGGATACTTAACAAGACATGAATGGGCAAGAATCAACATAAATGATAGATTTCATTACAGAAAATACACTTTTCTGTTTCATGCCGGTATCACAAAATGTCACCATTCACAGAAAATGAATTGGAACGTTGTTAATACTATCCTGAACAAGATATGATTGTATTACACTTCAACTGCATGTCAAAGTTTGTAAATCAATTTTAGTACATAATATTTGTCAGTTCAAAGGTTATCATTTAGTATGATCCACAATTTCAAGTAAAATAAATTCATTTACAAATCTAAGTTACAGACATTTTAACAATGGTATAAAGATGAACTACCTTTCTCAAGAGCAAATACGTCTGTGTAGTTTTATATCTACAGCACCCCAGAAATGAATGGGGACTTTACATACCATTAAAATAAAATTGTAAAATTTCAATAACAATGTTTCTGATAGTTTGAAAAGAAAAATCAGAATTTTGAAAATAGTATTTTACAAGTGCATGCATACATATGCATATTAGGAAATAGAAGACTGAAGACTGTAACTTAGATATTTTATGACACAGATGAATTAATTACAAATGTAGCACAATAATACTTAATATCACTGAATTCAACACTCAATACCACTACAAAAATGATAGAAAATTACATACATTTGTAAAAATAATTATTATGTAGTATAAAGCACTTGGCAAACATATGAAAACGTCAGTTTGTGAAGAATTTATCAACTCACAAAACTCCCTAAATGTCATGAGCTGCCAAACATAATATCATACTTCAACATAGCGGTACTTTCAACTACTTTTGAAAAATATCTTACACAGATTTTGTAAGCAAGTAACAAGACAGAGTACTCCAGTTACGCGAGGCTGTAATGTCAATGAACTGCTGAAACGATATGTGGATCAATATATGTAACAGTATCCCATCAGAAAACTATTGCCCAACAAAGAGAACCATGAATCTGTTGTGGTACAAGAAGACTTAATGAGGGAATTACAAGTACATTTATTTCTGCAAATTGTAGATCTAAATGATTTTGAAGAGGCAGTGTAAACATGATACTTCAAATGCCATGCTAACTATTTCATTCAATAACCCATTCTTTCACTTTCCCATAACACAAATGTAATCACAATTATTAGATCCACAGTTCACTTTGTTGAATAATGTCATGCATGTCAATTACAAATATGACTTATAAAAACATTGTATTAAATTGATTTATGTTTTGATGTGGATAGAATATTGTTGCACATGTTCAACTATGATTTTTGTTTTAAGTTTCTTCTGAAAATAATATTAAATATCAAATGAAGACCATGTTAATGTTCCAAGGTAACCAGTACAATTAAAAACAAATTAGTATATACAAGGAAACCATAGTTATCATTCCTACTTTACCCTGGCTACCTATGTAAATGTTAAACACATATACATGGAAAATCTGAGGTTTTCGATATGTTAACATCAATGATGCCATGTCTATAAATTATATGAGATTTTTCAGAAAGGGTGAAAATAATGTACAGTAATTATTTTGTTGTATATGTATAGAGATAGAGATACATGATTATATATATATAAAAGCATTCTTTGTAAAACAAAATAAAATGAGCACTGCAAAACAGTTCAGTCTAAGTCCCATGGCTTTCCTTAAACAAATAGGTATTTCAGCATAGGCTGTACCATGTGTTACAATTAACATAATTATACTGCAGCACTGACAAGCACCTCCAAAAAAAAGTACATTTTGTCAGTAAACACAAAACATTAAAAGTAACAGTCAAAACCTAAGTAAATGCAGTCTGCAATGATTGTATATATGACGCATGTGCGTTTGATTTTCTTTGCATCATTTTCTAGTTTGGGAATGGCATTTTATTTAAGTAGGCACCATATAGAAAATTGCCACTAAATTTGATAGAGGCAAAACGGGCGATATCATTCTCAGAAACAAGGCTCACTCACCAAGGTTGTTCTTGTAGCTGTTTAATTTGAAATGTTTGAATTCTACTCTTCTTTCCCAGTAACTGAGGGCACCATATTATTTCTTGAGGCAATATCATATATACCCTTTACGACAAAAAATTAAGAATTTGGTAATTTGCAACTCAACTGCATGTTGTAACATATGAAGACATTGCAAGTTATTGTCATTGTGTGGGGAGGGATCCATATACATCTACAGTATATTTCTTGTGTCATAACTTTTCACCACACTGTCATTAAAATATTGTCCCTTTAAATATGTTTCCATACTATGTTACTGGACCACACAGTACTGAAAAACCCTATTAACATACTCCTTTACAACATTTCTAAACGGACAATCACTTTGCTATCATATCCACTGAACACACAAGTTTCGAGTAGTCTTCTTTACCTCTCCTCTTGACCTGTGCTTTCATACTGATAGGTGATAATTTGCCAAACTAATGTCAGTTTGCGTAGTGATCAAAGGACCCCAAATACTCCAGAGCGGCTCGGTAACAAAACTGGTACTGATCCTAGAAATATAATTTAGAAATCAAATTATATATAACCTTTTAAAGAACAAAATACATTCCAAATCATTAATAAGAGCATTTGAATCATACAGCAATAAAGGAATTACTGTTAAAGTTAACTAGTAAATGCTATGTTCTTTCTTTTAATCGATTACACAATATTCTTTGGTTCACATAAATGATGTTCTGAATTTGTGTGAAGGAAATTAAAATTTACCTCAGTCTGAACCATAGCAGGGCGCTGAGTGCGTAAAATGCGCACTGTCTGAAACACATCCACCACACCTTCATACTGCATTCTCTCAAGTACAATACTCAGTGTGATAAACACACCTGTACGTCCAACACCCGCGCTGAAATACATTTCATTCAAATTAGAAAATATTTTCGCTTTGACAAACAAATTCTTCATCAGCTCATTAAACACACCTGCAGTGCACAGTAATTGGACCATCTTGACCAAATTGCTCTTTAGTTTTGTGTACTTGACCAATGAAGTCAATAAATCCATCACCAGACTTTGGTACCCCTTGTTCAGGCCAATCAATAAATTGAAACTGTCGCACTGTGCGTGAGCTACCATCACGTGCATCGGTCACTTTAAACTCCCTCAGAATATATTGTGGCATATTATATTCTGCAATGGGATCAACAACGAAGCATTGATAGCGCACAGATCGATCACTTGGCCAGTACTGGTGACATTTTTCCTGAAAAATAGAAAGATGTTAGGAAACAACAAACAAACAAAAAACAAAGAAATTGAAATAAATTAACAAAGAAACTACAAAATATCAGCAAAAACACTGATTGTAATAAGAATTATTTGCTACAATAGAACCATATGAAAGCAAATGCAGTGTAAATAATGATGGAAAATTTCACCATGTACAGATGGTAAATACACACCATTAACAAGGAGATAAGATCTGAGAAACAGAGATACATTGTTAGATATCTTTATTGATAAAATAAAATGATGACACTCATATAAATATCAGATGGCAAGATTTGTATCTGATTGGGCACTGAGGAATCACAACAGGATATGAAAGGGTCCTAACAAACTTTATGAAATACAATGTGTGATGAAAATATACTAAAGGCTAAATTGACAAGTAGAGACAAGTACAAAAATTGTTTTCATGCCCTTCTATTATATACTGTTACTTCACATTTTAAATGCAACAACATAAATTGTAAAAATACTCTTTTTTCCACTTACTCTGCCCATTTCTTTGAGTTTAGTTAGCATCACAACAATTGTTGAATTATGTTCCCAAAGCATTCTCCACAAGTCTTCAGTTGTATCGGGGAGCGGACCTTGAGTAGCAATATAAGCAGCACGATAACGATATCCATCAATGAAACTTGCATTAATGTAGTCAGAACCTTCAACAGCCCGCACAGGTGTGAGACAAACGCGTGTAGATTCAAATGGCAGGATATGGACCAAGCGGTTCTTATGCTTGTTGCATGCTAGGTTAGCACTGATGAATCGAGAAGAGTCTGCTTTGATGTTTGATAATTTCTGTTTTCAAATATTAAATTTACGTCAATATTTTAAAAAACAAATGTAACACTCATTTATACTATTAAAATATTGATTATACCTTGAATTCCAATTCCATGCCAGTAATATTTTCACCTGGCTCATTTTGCATTAGTTTTTGGATATGAGAATGCAAATTACGAGCTGGTACCTCAGTAACTCCACATATTACAGCTTCCAGTAATGCATCGTGGATAAACACATACTGGTCCTCGGTCTAGGTAAAAGAACAATATCAGAAAATGTGGCATGTAACAACATCATAAAAAAATATCTTTTTATGTTGCTTATGATATAATCAATAAATATAATTTTGCAAAAAAGATTACACAGTGTATTGTTTGAAAACAGAGCTCCAAAATTTAATCAAAACATACCTGTACCATATAATTTCGTTGTGCTCGGAGGCAAGTAACATGGCCATATATATCAATCATTTTCTCATACTTCATTCTCTCCAACATGGAATCTATTACAATAAAACATCCTGTTCTGCCAACACCAGCACTGTGAGAATAATACAACAATATTAAATCAGTGAAGTGGAATGAACCAGCGTTGATGCAAAGAAGTAGATACAAAATGCAAAACAAATAATTCTCCTACAGTGATTTCTCTCAATTAAAAAAAAAATTAAATTAAATTAAAATAATAATAATAATAATAATAATAATAATAATAATAATAATAATAATAATAATAATAATAAAAGGAGATAATACTATGCTATCTACTATCTAACTTTACAATTCATTTGAATATTAATTTTAACAGTCACACATTTGGGTTTCCTAGCGAAATCTGTAAAAACACTTTGAATTACTGTTAAATCATATGTATATCACCCACAGTACTCATTCAGTACACCAGAGACACACTTGAAGTGATGTAATTGTAGCACCAATAATGTATCACTAATCCACACTTGTCTGACTATCTTCCAAACTTTAGGGCATCACATACAAAACAGCTTTTAGAAAGGATAGTACACCAAAGAATAAAGTTGTACACAATCCATCCATTTCATATCTCATATACATATATATTGATTTATCTCCAATTACTTTTGTCAAATCACATACTGTCTCACAAGTTTAATTTTTGTGACCTGCACTACAAATGTAAACTAGAGCCAAATAAGTGAAACATTTTTGTTCATGAAAATTAAGTTTAGTTTTTTTCCCAAACTGAATATTCCTTCCAGAAACTATTAATTCTTATGATCTTCATCTTCATTATGGATTCATTTTTCAGATTAGCTCTTATATGTAAGAAGTTATCTTGTTTGTATTCTAAGTTGAAGAAGTTCCAGCCTTTTATTCAGGCAATTTACCTGCAGTGAACTATCATGGGTCCAGCATCAGGTGGATTCATGTTGCGAACTCGGCGTAGGAACTGCAGGAACGGCGCTGGGTGGTCAGGCACACCATGGTCAGGCCAGGCAGTAAACTGGAACTGTTTCACCTCTCGCCGCTCATTGTGGCCCGCCTGGTTGGCATAATTAACATGCACGTGTAGAGACACTCGTCATATATGCCAACCAATAGTAGAATATACTAAGCAGATCCAAGTACTTTCAGTGATGGGAGATTTCTGTTAGGATTTTCTAATATATTTCCATGGAACTCACATAAACATATGGCTCAAAAATTCATGCTCAGTAGAAATTATACAATAATAAACAACAAGTGGAAGGGTGATACATGTATGTTAAAAAAGATAGGAATACTGCAATTAATGATACTGATGTGGGTATTGTGCATGTATTGATACAGTATTTCAATTTTTCATTGACATGACATTTCCCTGCTCTCATGTTAATGATACTCTTTCCATAGTACTAAAACAACATTATCCACAATACTGCCTCACTTAATCATAACACGTAGATGTCTAGTAATAATCAATTTCAAAATGCTGGTGTTTTATTCAGTGCACTTCACTTTTCTTCAAACATAATGATCAAATGATTTGTGCAATTAGTAATTTAAAAAAATTGAAGTAAAAATGTACAGATGAAAACTTCACATCTGTATACATAAAATATTGTATTTGTGAAATAAGTAATGAAATGCTCAGAGTAGAAAAATGTTAAAAACTTTGGGATTATTATTCCTCTACTTGAATAGAAGAGAATTGTATATAATTAAAACATTCTAATAGAATACAAGGAAATTCTTCCATTGTTTGCCTTGTAGCACAAGTTTTAAAACAATTATTCCTCAATTATCATTCATAAATTATTAAAATGACATGTCTTCAGTGTGTATATATCACAATTTGCCATCATGTTAGGGGTTGATCCATTTTTATAATTTTTTCTTTTTTCTCTTTTTGTTCCTTTAATGTCCAGTCTTCCAGTCTACTCTTAAATTTTCCTTCCTTTATTCTTGGTCTTCCCCTTGACTTTCTCATTGTATAAACCTTATAAGCAAGAAATAAACTTGAAACATGAAATCACATGAAAATCAATTTAAGACGTATATTGGAATCCATAAGTCCCTTCCAATAACATCTTGAAATACAGTTAACTTCATTTCAAATTAATTTTCATTCTTGGAAATAATTGCCAGTCTTTTTATAATGATAAACAAGTATTTCACTTCCATATAGGATTGGTAGGAATATATTTCAGATAGGAAATATATTTCAAAATATTATTTCTTTTTGCAACACATTATTGCTGTCCTGTGATGGGCTAATCAGATACAGCTCTTCCTTGACACAAAATACTGACAATTTCTCTAGTGTAGTGGCTAATGTGCCTAGCCAACAATCTGGAGGTCCATACTCAGAAGTTCTGATTCATTCCTTAAAGATCCTATCATCTAGTTTTCTCCTTAGGTTTGAGATTCAGAGAGGGGGTTCTCATGTATATAAAATATCAAAGAGCCTCAAAATTAAAAATATTAGTTAAGTGGAACTAATACATTGACCAAGTATCACTCCTGTATGTCCTTCTAGTAAATAGAGAGAGCAATTGATTCAATATGTCATGACTTTTCAAGTTGTTACATACGAGATCATGATGAAATTATTTCACATCACACTAAATTGTAACATCACTTTCTTATCATTTAGAACAATTTGCACTCGTTTATTTCACATCACTTCACAATGGTTACACTGACAATTCTTTCACTTAATAAAATATTTAAATCACTTCACTACACAAATATTGAAGAACTTTAAGAATTTCCCCAATTCAATCTTCGAAAGTTAAAAATTTCAGTTAATAATACTTTAATTTAGATATATCTTTTTAATTTAAGAATGAAATACATCAACAAAATGAAGATTCACCATCCTATTATTATGAAGACGATGCATACTTCTCCTCAACTTCTTATTTATTCATTACTACAGGGATTTTAAAGAAAAGTCTTTTTTTTTCTTTTCTTTTCATTTTAGAACAATGCCATTTAGAATAGACATTAATTTTATGTTACGACAAAAGGAAATGACCAATTTTTATTGTAATATTTTTTTGCATTTTTCGTTGATTTCAACCAATAAGTCATTTTTACCTTTTTCCATCATTTTTAAAGCATTTTTTGCTGATTTACTTGATTTTAATATCATTGTAATGGAACTTGCTTCAAATAATATTTATGATCTTCGTGCAACATAATGTTCTCCACAAAATTCATGTAGCCTATTTGATTTCTTTGCTCATATATTGTAATGTCAGCTATTGTGAGTATTCTGTAATCTAAGGTTCCTGATACGCCTATCAGCGCCATTGTTGGCTCATCTGATTTCGGAATAAAGGCAGAGATTTTGTGGTAAAGAACAGTTCGAACCAAACGTTTGCCACCTGACTTCACTTGAACGAAAGGAAGAAGCCTTGATTACATCAGTAACATTTCCAACAACTTAAATTGTTCATCTGAACTGGTTCTGACCACATTTTTTACATAATTTTTCTTGGCTTTGAGGGCATTTTAGAAACACTTTAAGAGCATTTTAGTAATCATTTTTGGCTATGTTTCAAGTTATCAAAATCTGCTCTCTATTCATTACCAAATGTAGAGTAAAACTGAATTAACCCAAAGTAGGCAATAGTTTAGATGTAGAGGTTGATGCACTGGACTGAGCCATGATTGAAAGTGTAATTAAGTCAAGTTTACAAATGTTTTTGTAGTTATGTTACCACATTTCTTTTCATTATTTTATTCTTAGTGTTCAAACTAATTTATCAAACCCTAACACAACTAATAAATTAATTTAACATGATGAATGAATGCTCTGGTGGTTCTAGTATGGCGGTAACACAGGAATGTTTGTTAGATTTTTCACTTTTCTATCTCTCCATTAGCCAATGCTACAGCAGTGTCTCAATCTGTCTTCAGGTTTCCTCCAAATACCTCTCTCTTTTATTTTGAAATTACTTATTCTTGTTAAAACACTTCCTTTCAGTACATTGCAATTCTTCTTTCATTTAGCTCCTTTCACTTCTTTTGTCACAGTATTTTGTCAGTTCACTTACTAAATAAATTATGATGTGCATTCTACACAAATTTACACCTTAACAACTTCATTGGAGATACCCTTTCCCCCAACCAAAATCACTGTTCTTATTCCCACTGAAAGATTTTGTCACTTGCTTTGTGTGGTTCACAAATAGTTCTTTCTTCTGTTACATACACATGTATAAAACCAAACACACACCAAACGTATCACGATCACAATGTTAGTATTATTTAACACACACACACCCATATTATTCTTAAAAAGCACATAACACAGTCTTGAAAGTCACACACATATTAGAATATGTTAAACTTAGCACAATTTGTATGTACTCTATCATTTTCCAATGGACAGGCAAACTATATACTTTAATAATTTGATTGAAAATAGCACTTTCACTTCTCAGGAGGCCTCTTACTGTAATAACTCCATCCATAGATGAGTTTTCGAGTTTTGTACTTATGGTGAAACACTATGACTGTAACAATAAATTCACAATATAATAAAATTAATCTTTCACATGTTTATGCAATTTTCATGTCAGGTTGATTCTGTAACTAACCAGAATACACTTGATGAACTTCACACTTATTATGTTCGGACATAGTAATCGTAAATCACATATAGTCCCAGAGTATATTAGGAAGTCTGATACTGATATCTATACTGCCAACAAAAAATGACTTTTTGACAAATTACTCTTTAACAAGAGAAATATTTCACTTCTAGTTTTTAACTCTTTGAAAACAGAAAATCATTCTTACTTGATGTACTGCATGATCATTTTTTATTAAATCACGGATTAGTTTCCATTTTTGCAAATGCACTTTACTTCTCATTGATGTCAATTATGATATGAAAATATAATGAAATATCCTTTCCTTATTTGTCCATTTTACTAACTGCCATGAAAGCTTTTAACAATGACAACTATTAATCTAACATCTTTATTTAACTGATATCCATACACTTCAAACATTTTCATTTTATATGAAGCTGCATGATTTTGATATGCTACCAAATGTTTTCAGCGTTTTCTTTCTATAGAATCCACTGTGTTAAATGTATAGCACAATACAACCCATATGGAATGAAGGGAGAATTAATTCACATGGGGAAGGAAGTTTGTATACAAAGTTTACATTTCATTAAAACTAGCCATTCAGGGTAAAATGAAATTTAATATAAAATATGCACAAAAGAAAGGCACTTACTTTATGAATCTGAAATGTACGAATACAATAAGTAGCCAGTTCCTGAACATCAGAGCTTGTGACAGTCATAGATCCATATGTCTCTGTTCCTCTTGTAGGCCAATATTGATCACACTTAATACGGGTACGTTCTTCTAATTTAGTCATCATCACAATAGTTGCTGAACGTAATTCCCAACACATTCGCCAGAAATCAGCAAAAGTGTCTTGTAAAGGACCCTGAATACAATTAATACAGAAAACATTAAGAAATCATCAGTGTTTCATTCACATACTTCTGTGGTCTGGGTTGGTGATGGTGCATTTGGCAGGAAAGAGTGAAACAGAATAAGTTGTTCCTACAGCAATCATGGCTGATAAATATGAATTGTGAATACAATACTTTGAACATGTAATGGCTAAAGACTGAAATATGGTTAATTCATGAATACACTAGTTAATTCATACCTTAGCTAGATGGTGTAGATAATGCTGTATGTGTGATGATCAATTGATCATTTCTCACATCAACTAGTTAATGTTGGCATTAGCCAGAGGGTTAAAGCAAGGTAACTGTCCATGTGTGTGAAGTGTTTTATGTGTTTCCGAGAATTATTAAGGCACAAAAAAGTGTTGCCAATAATGCATTGCACAACATCCTGTGTAAATTGCGAAGGTCAGAGCCTTGCAAGATCAACTTGAGAATAGCCAAGCTTCAACTGAGGTGTATAGTGAGGTGAGGTGAGGTGAGGTGAGGTGAGGTGAGGTGAGGTTACATCACCATCATAGAAAATTATGACTGACACAGAAGAACTTAAAATTACACCCCTTGTCTCTCACCAGCCTACGAAACTCTCTACCAGCAGTCTGATCCTTGTTGATCATATATTCCTTTTCACGTAATGTACTTCACCTACCCTGGTCAGCACGTGTTAGCTAATGTGCACTTTAACCAGCTAATGTCCAAAGTATGCTTCGAAGCTGTTTCTACTTCAAACTTTATCCACTGATTTTGGATAACAGGAACATTAACCAGCAAATTTGTGTATTAACTAGATTTGGCCATTACCCAGAAAATGTATTCTGAATAGAATCTACAAAAGTGTGTTTTTTATCTGTTTTCTGAAACTATTAAGTGCATAACATACATTGGGCCATCAAATTATAATTTCAAGGATTTGAATTTTACTCTCTTAGAAGAGAATGGTTAACATTGTGCACACAGCAATCTATACAAGAGAAACTAATTAATACTTCAGATTCCAGATTAAAAGCGTGCATGCAAGAATTAAATGAACATATATTGTCAATTTTGTACTTTACATAACATCACTCAACTAATGAGTGGATTTTTTGAAGCATAAAAACTTGAAATTTTGATTTATAATACAATATCATTTAGAAATTATTTAGATTTTGAAAGATCTTTAAAAGTGGAATCAATAATTGTTTACAAAAAAAAAAGTTCAGGCAATCTTTAATAGCATAGAAGTAGTAAGGAGCATAGAAAGACCATACTGAAAACACATGACCTGTATCTTTATAATCTTAAATTTTTGTATTCCACTATTTATCTTTGTTCTGAAATTTTCAAGACCCTTGTAATAGTTTTGCTACAACAGATCTACTGCTTTCACTCTGCCGTTCCTCCTTATCTGTTAGTTCTTTAAGCAGTTTCTCCCCACACCTACAAAAACCTACAGAAATAGTAAAGCTTCATTAAAAGTGCATATTCTTGGCTTTGCAAAATTTAACTTTTAAGAACTGGGATGGGACGATACAAACTGTATATGCCGGTCATTATATCATGAGCCCTTTTGGAATTACCATTCAAATATTATGAGCTCTATAGTAATTACCTGTGTAGCAACATATGCATTATGCTTTCGATAACCATCACAATAGTTTGCATTGATGTAATCACTGCCCAAAATTCCATCAATTGGCTGCAGAATTACTCGAGAATGATCATATGCAATTACATTGGCATATCTGTTCTTTGGTTTGTTAACTTCCATGTTGGAATGGTCCCATGTAAATTGTTGTCCTGGTTCAATAGACTGAAACATAATGTAACACATAAGGAATCTTTCCTGAATCTCTTTTATGTATGGAAACAGTATGAGTCACTGGTAGCAGGAAGTAGAGAAATTTATTAAATTGAATGTTAATAAAGCACTATCTAAATGTTTCCGTACATGTAACATTTAACAGAAGATCACAATTAAGAGTGCAATAAAGCTCACTAACTGTAAATTCAAATAAATGAAACAGGGGTTTCAGTAAATACTAAAAAAACATCAGTTATTAGTACGGGGTGGATTTTGATGACCTAAAACATTGCCAAAAACGATCAATAAAATGCTCTTAAAATGCTTTTACAAAACCCTAAAAACAAAGAAAAATGATGTAAAAAATTTCATCAAAACCACTTCATATGAACAACTCAAGCTGTTGGATATGTTACTGATGTAATCGAAGCTTCTTCCTTCTGTTCAAGTGAACTCAGCTTGCACACTTTGGATTTAGATTGTTTTTATAAGAAAATCTCTGCCTTTATTTATCGTGAAATTGGCCGAACTCACAATGGCGCCAATAGACGTTACATGAAACTTAGATTACATAGTACTCACAATGGCTGACATTATAACATACGAGCGAAGAAATTGAATAGGCTACTCAGGAATTCTAGGATGAACATTTTTTGCACCTCATAAATATTGTTTGAAGCAAATACCATTAAACTGATATTAAAATCAAAGAAATCAGCAAAAAATGCAGTAAAAATGACATATAAAAATGGGTAATTTCGTTTCGCCATAACATAAAATGAATTTCTACCCAAAACAGCATTGTTCTAAAGTGACAAGAAAAAAAATTACATTTCATAAATATCCATCCCCTAGATATTAGTTTATAATAGCATTTAGACATTTTCAAACATACTTCGTATTCCTGAGAGAATTTCAAGTTGTCAGTTGCTTTCAATCTTTCAATATGGTTTGCCAACTCCGATATAGGTATAGGTGGATGAGAAATCATCCCAGGAGTTTGGAAGTTCAGACGACGCATTTCAACAGGATCTGAAGGTGCATGAGTGGTACCCATATCTGCTGCCATTAGAGGCCTGGTCACTGCTGCTTGGTCAGGAGCTTTACATGGTTGTCTTCGCCTGTTACAGAAACAACCATAAAACAATACCAATTGAATTGGATGATCTATAAATGATATTATCTATAAATAATATTTCATATTTAATTATCGAATCCAGGTGGCCAAAGCAGAAATAAATTATTCTGACCTCCCAATTTCCCAAACATTTTATTATTATTATTAATTATTTTATTATTAATTATTATTATTATTATTATTATTATTATTATTATTATTATTATTATTATTATTATTATCATCATCATCATCATCATTGTTAAAACATGTCTAAGAATAGATATGGCTTTAACTAGTGTACTACATTCAATTATTACTGAATGTAAATTAAAAACAATAATGTGCGTGATATCCACTGCAAAGTTTCCCATTTCAAAACAAAACTTTTGGAAAGTCAGCATTGTCAACTGTACACATTAACTATGCTCCGTGAACTCATAGAAGTGAAGCAGCTCGAGACTGGGAACATTGGTTACATATAGCACTTAGATCCTGGCCAAATGAATCAAAGACAATGGCTGCAATATTATAAGACAAAAGACGAAATTTAACAGAAGATTGCTCCATAGGCTTCCTAGGCTACTCTAAACATTTTTTTTTTGTCTTTCACAATTGTTAGATTGGCAAAGGATTTCAACACATGAATTACATTTGCCACGTAAGACTCAGCGAAGAAAGCTTCAGTCCAATTTTCCTCTAGTGCACTTCTCTGTATCTCTGACCAGCACTGAAGAGAGCCCTGAGGGACAATGTATTTGGTATTTTATGAACTGTGTATAGGTCAGAATGAGCATAAGACAACCTTTCTTTATACAAATTTACACGGCTCTTTCTCCTGTAATAGAATATTCTAAGGATGTTAGAATATTTTTAGTCTGAGCTTTTTTTTTCAGTACCTCAGTTTCTTTCACACTTACACATTGTAAAAGAGGCTACAATTTATAACCCTAAGAGTCCTTTATCATCAATTTGTGTTTGTAATTTCACAGTGAAAAAGACAAAATCAACAATTTTTACTTTCTCGCCCTTCAGAAAGTATTTCTCAAGAAGAGAAAGTTATGTAATGCTGTGGGATGAAACAGCGAATTTTCAGCAGAAAAACCTTTAATGCCGGACCCTGGTAATGAATAAGTGGATAAATCCGGTTGCTAACATCAGAAAAAAGTCCTCTAAAACATGGTGTAACCAGAATCTGTTTTGTGGGTCCTTGATACTTGTCGACAAAACCTTTGTCTGTCCGTCTGTGAACAACGCTAGTGCTTAAGCCGTTCAGTCGATTTTCTTCAAAATTGGTATTCTCAAATGATTATCTCTATTTGCTGATATTGAAGCCCCTTGAATTTGAAACTGATAGTGCAGGTCTCATGTTCATTAAAAACCCTGATTTTCAAAATTTACAAAACTTAAAATTTTTTTCAGAGTCCTCCTAAACTAAAATAGAGCTAAACCAAGATAGAGATTTTTTCCCTTAATGAAATCTGTTATTTAAAGATTTTTTTTAGTTATTTTTTGAAAATTGGAGTATTTTTCTTGTATTTTCGTGAGTATTTTGCGGGAAATACAGGCAATTTTCAATTTTATGTAAACAATTTTTTTCGCAAAACAGCAGCAACAATTTTAATTAAATTTTGACCTTAGATAGCGTACAGAATGCTGAATAATTGTCATGGTTCAGGTCTGCACATTGAAAATGGTGCAGGTCTCACGTTCATTAAAAAGGTCCGATTTTTCAAAAATTTAAAAAAGTGAAGATACGATTTTTTTTCATAATGAAATGTATTTATCAAAACAGAGGTTCATATAAGGTAATGTTGAATTTTTCAAAAACTGATAATTTTTTGTGTGATTTGGTGTCAAACATAGTTGACTGCTTCGAATTTTCTGTGGTTTGTAAATGTAATATGAAAGGTTCTTCCAGGCAGTTGGATGCTACACAAGTTAGGATTTGTATATTTTTATACTTCTTTGTTCATTTCTTACATTTGAGATTTTGCTGTACATTTACAAATTAATCTTTTAGAAATTATTTAGAACTTAATAGATAATCCATATTTTTTGTCCATGTTGCGAGGAATACATTTGCATTCTCAGTGTGTTGATCAATTTTCTTTCAAGCAATCTGCATACCTCAATTAAAATTAGCCCAATTAGGTTTTTTCTGTTAAAAATATGATTTAAATGTAATAACAAAGAAATTTTGCCAGCCTTCAGGGAATATTGGAATGGAATACAACAATGGCATTCCACGCTGGCTGAATTTCTGTGATTTACTTCTCATTGTTGGGACATGATTTAGCTGTATGAAAAGCAGTTATAATTGTAAATTTGTGTATATTTGCTTGAAAATATTTAGTTTTTGTACCAAATGTTCTAAAAATTGTAATGAGTTTTACAAAAAATAACAGAGATATGTCAATTTGGAGGGAAATTGCGGGACAAATAGTATTAGATAACCATTGATAAGGGGAAGAAAGTATGTGCTGTTTTAGTACTTACGAGTACTTAACTAGTACTCTTAAGTACTAGTTAAGCAATAATATAATATTACATGAACATTAAAAAGTGTTTCCAATTAGCAAAAATATTTTCCCTGTGCCAAGATTTGAATTCAGGCCTTAAGAGTTAACATGCCAGGCATGGTATCCCTTCACCACTAATCACACAGTCAACCTCCACCTTCCTTATGTTAAAAAAAAAAACGGATCATTTGTATTAGCAATTTTCAAAAATTCATAATTTTCATAATTTTCATTTATATTATCCAAAAATCTACTTTTTAAGAACAGATTCCATTAAGGAAAAATTGTCCGTTCTCAATATTGTAGTTTTGCAACATTACGTTTTGGTGGCAATATTCAAAAATACAGAGTTTGCCAAAAATAGGACCTGTGCATATTTTTATTACTATTTTTTGCTCTATCCAAGGAAAAAATGTAAAGAATAAATTAGGAATTGATTTTGAGAATTCTTTTTTTTTTTTATTTTTTTTTTATAAATTGCATTAAACTTCAAGTAGCAATTACATGAAAACTACCATATTTATCAGAATGTAAGCTGACCTTTTTTGAAGTTCAAAAATTGATCCTTGGTTCCGGCCACCACGCCAGGGACTAACCCCAGCAGTCATTCTTTTTTAGTGATCTCGGGCTAGTCTATCGCAAGTGTGATCTTGGATAGATGATGCCAAGAAGAGTATTCCTAGAGAAGTTATCGCAACAGCTTTTAAAACGTGTTCAATCTCAAATGCCCTTGACAGCAGTGAAGATGACGTCCTTTTCGTGGACAAAAGGGACAAAGAGTCAAGTGAGGAATCTGTGTCCTCAGATGACAGCATCTGAATCAATTATCTCTAAAATGTATAGAAATCAGTGGTCTGAATGCGTTCAGCATTAAATGTGTTTCTTATGTTTACATAAATAAATTTCCTTTTAAGAAGAGATTTCATTTAAGTAAAACACCTTTATCATCAATATTGTACTTTTATAAAGTTAATGTTTTGCCATTTTCCAAAATACAGAATTTGCCAAAAATGGGACCAACAACATTTATCTTTTGCTACATCCAAGGAAACAATTCAAAGCAAAAGTTTGGAGACATTTTGAGAAAATAAATATTTAGTAATTGCCTAAATTTCATGCAAAATTTCATGAACAGCATATTTACAAAAAATTGTACATGAATATATTTCAAGATCAATTGTTGAAGAACAGATTTTATTATGGGGGAAGAAATCTTTCTTCAATATTGCAGTTGTAGTATGACACCACAACAAAAATGAAACTTGCACCATTTTTTAAAGTGCCCTGTATGCTATTCAAGGTCAATGTTTAATCAAAAAACTTGGAACCATTGTTGAGAAAATTTTGAAAACATGTTTAAAGTTTCATGTTAAGTACCCCCAAAAATCAAAATATCAATTTCAAACTCGCACAGCCTAAAGATCATCCAGATCAGTCAAGAAATATCAACTTTGGAGAAAATAGTTTGAACAGTTTAGGCACTAGCATTGACCACAGACAGATGGACAAATAAGCAGAAAGACATTTTGCGATCAATCGACTTTTCGGTATCAAAGACCTACCAAATCAGAATCAGACCTACCAAATGTAGAATTTTAGAGGAAGTAATTTACTACATATAAGAACAAATTTTATCCATTTTTTCATCACCAGGGATTCATTACTAAATCATATTGTCTGTTTAACTTATTTAATGTTTTTACATTCTGCTACACTAAATTACTATTTTTTTTCATTTTTAGGGACGGGAGAAATTGTGTTGTGAAAGATGTTTGCAACAGGGTCAAAATTTACAAAAACTGAGAATAATAACTAATCTTATTTAAACACAAATTTGTTGCATATTGAAACTTTCATTTCCATGCTAAATATAAATTGAGAGCAGAAAATGTATCTGAATCAATAATGCCATTAAACAAACCATATAAAATAAAAATAGAATCTTACTTTCTAATAATGAACAGAAGCATCAAGCAGATTGAAACAAATAATGCGGCAATTATTGGGAATATAACCCAAACCATTCCTATTTCCTTCTTGTTGGGGTTCACTGACACATCATTGTCAGACACTGGATTATTGGGATTTGGTCGCCTGGGTGGATCACCCGGAGGCACTTCCCTCATATCCAGGGCCAGATATTCTGAGAATGGACTAGATGTGTACAAATGCTGAAAAATACAAACAAAATTAAGTGTGACAAAACTGAAACCTATTTTACAATTATTTTTTTCATTTTGTAAAACAAAGAGTTACCAAGGACAGCATAATTCAAATAACTTACAAACACATTATGACATTGTCCAGAGGAACACAAGAATAATTAACTTTTCTTAAAAGCTTATGGTTTTCAGAAGTTGAAATCAATAGGTTATAATTTCATGAAGCGTAAAGGAATTTTATGTTTAATTATAAAGAAAAAATATCATTAGAAATAGGAATAAAAATAATGGATGATCCCACAATAAATTATACAATTTAAACTATTAATACACTAATAATAATATTTCTACAGATATACCCTATAAGAATGCATGTTTATATGCTTTGTAATAGTGAAAAGAACATCTTTTTAACTGTTTTGCATTATGAATTGTAAATTATTTCACAATAATAATGATAAGTAATTTGGTTACAACGATAATGCAAAGTAATTTCAGTATATCACATTACAATTTAAAACTGGAACATTTCCTAAAAGCAATTGTGTGAGGTTTCATGGCATACATAGCACAACAGGTATAATCCACTCTTGTACGTACATAAGAGATTAATATATTTAAATATGAAAAGTGATCTAAATTGCAATATTTGAAGTACCTTTTGGGGGGTATCCACAACAGCTCTTACAAAGATTCGATACTTTTTGCCACGCTCCAATTTTCTATTTAAAAATCCTTCATAAGTCTCTCCATTTCCTAAGTGAAATGTGTATGGTATGCTGCGTTGAGAAAATTTTGCTGCTATGTATGGTGCATTTTCTCGTTCCTGTTTGGCTCCTTTATTGGCAATCATCTTAAAATTAAAAACGCTATGTTAAACAGCAGAATGCTAAAATTGTTACAGAAATAAACATGAATTATCATGGCATTTCAGAAAAAAAAAATTGGAAGTTGCTAAGCTTACAAGCAAATCAATATACAGATTGGATCATAAATCAGGGAATATATTTAATGGACATTTTACCACTTGATTCACTTCATTCAACTCAGTAACTGTTTTCTGTTTTCACCAACACTTATTTTCTGCAGAAAGAATAAGAAGTTTAAGAAGCATAAGAAACCTCCCAAAGGAAAGTAGAGTTACACAACAAATGTTTTCACATAGGTTCATTTCCTACTTTCCATAGATCCATATATGAAAGATATATGTAGAGGATCTGCAATGTAACTTGGAAGGAAGGGGAGGAGAGACAATTTCAGTGCCCTAACTAAATTCATTTGGAAAAATGACACTTTTTTAGAATGTGAATCTTGAAATACAGCCTGCCAGGCTACTGTATTAGGAAAAACTCCTTTGGAATGTGATGTAATCAATGTTTTGAATAAAGAGAGTAAAATTACAAAAAATTCTGATCTGTCATTGTACATGGCAAAATGGAGTGAGAGTTTCTGTGAGTCAAGGTGAGCAGGCTTGTGTTATCTGAATGACTAACTTGGAAAAGTTGCATGACCTTACAAGCCATTAATACAAGGAGAGTCAACAGTCCATAGTTACCAAAGGAAAGGACATATATTTACTTTTATTTTTATCATCCAAAGCATGGGTAGAGTTAATAGGGAAGGATTATTCTTACTTTTTCCAAGTTCCTTCATTCTACCCTATGATTAAGCTCGCTTGAAAATCTATGACCTTAAGTTTCATAGCTGCTCACTGTGGCAGGCTACCTAGGCCCCCAGGCAATAGAACATTAGTTTGTCCTCTTCTCTTAGTTTATAAAATAGATAGACACTGAAAAGTTGTTTTCTTCTTTCTGATTTTTGATGTTTTGTCATCTCTTGCCATAAAGAAAGCAGTTTACCTTTCTAAACCCTGAGCAATATTACATAAATAATATTTTTCAATCTATTTTAATGCCTGTAGTTATTTTTTTATTAATTAAAAATAAGTGAAATTAATATAGGCCTGTTAAAAACTGGTACACCAGTAACTTCTTGCATTAAGATGTACTACAGTAAGAATAGTGTCAGGTTTCTGAGAACGTATACAATTTTAGAGTACATATGTATAACTGTATACTATTTGTGTAGCAAATTTATTTAAGCCTTAAAATTAATACTACTTTATGTGAATGACACTCAATCATCATCATATGATAAGAGTGAAATTATCTACGCATCATTAGTCAAGTTTTATCAAATTAAATAAGAATGAGATTGATGCTTACTATATGCAAGAAACATTTTCATGGAAACTATCTAATTTAGCATAGCAATATAAGAATAATTAATAGAGTTCTATATTTGATTGCCTCATAAAAAATGTCAACCTAAATCTATTTCAATAATTCCACATCATGTGAACCATCTATAATATGAGAATGGATTACTGAGAAACTGAAATGAGAATTTATAATAGTCTTAGTCATACAAACATCTCCAATCTAACTTAAAGGTCCTATATATATTAATAAATTATACATATTTTAAAACAGATCTTACTTCTTCAGTCAAAAATTGGTCTGGATGTTTGTTTTGATTCATTTTATCTTCTGGAACAACAATGAGGTAGTAATGGCTAATAGGTCCGTATTCTTCAGATGCTTGTGGCAAGATAACCATAACAGCTCCACTAACAACACCATAAAAATCAGGTTTCACCATTGGTTGAGGGGCTATAAAAAGTATTTTGATTATGATAAGATCTACCTTTAGCAGGTGTACATACATACAGAAACAACAAACAAACTGAAGAATAATTCACTTACCAGCCATTTGGGTTGTGACAGTAATTTTAGTAGGAGGGCGATACTGATGATCAGTTGGAATGGCACTAACATTCACACTATATGTTGTAAATGGTGAAAGTTCATTGATAGTATGACGACGAATATCAGGTTTTAATAAAATTGTCTGTCTTGGCACCTCCTGAGTCTGTGTAATTCCCTGAGAATCTACAAATTCCTTGACAGCATCAAAGGAAATCTGAAAACGTTACAGAAATAATATTAAAACTCGCACTTTTAACATATTTTCTTGTACTATGAAGTTCTTCATTTACTGTTCATTTTAATTTTATTATAGACATGTATATATGTGACTATTTATGCAAGAAGAATTCAGTAGTAAGCAAAACATACTTTGTAGTTGATAGGATTAAGCCGAATTGGTGGTGACCATGACAATGTCATACTATGAGTGCTCACATCATGAGCTCGAAGATTCAACGGAACATCCTCTGGCTTCACTTTCACTGTTACTTTTTCAGATAGTCTCCCTAGACTCTGTTTTGTTTTTGCTGCAACTGCTATAGCATACTGAGCAAATTTCTCTAAATTTACTAGGTCTGCTGATTCCGTGAGACCAACAGCTTTCTGCTGCCACTCATCCAAGTCTTCGACAGCAGTCATAGTGTAAAAAATCTGAAACAGTTGAATAGTTTTTTGTTTTTGTTTTTCATTTCAAAATAAAGAAATATTTTTAGGGTATTAATTTAAAGAGGTGTTGTATATCAATGAAAATAAACAATTAAGAATTATAGTTTTCTCACCTGAGGCAATTACAAATGAATATCACGAGAGAAAATGAATAGTTTATACCTGATATCCTGTAACTTTGCCTCGACTAGGTACAGCTTCCCACCAAACTTCCACACTCTGGTCAGATGTTGCCACAGCTTGGACACTCATAGGTGCTCGGACAATGTCCCGTTCAGTGTGGACAGTAATTTTTTCACTAAAAGGACCAGCACCTTGACTTGTGTGCGCTCTTACGTGAAACACATAATCAGTGTTCTCTTCCAAATTTGTGAACACAGCCTGCAAAAAGTTTTATAAATACAAATTTATGTATTTCAATTGAATGAACAATTTTTAAGACCTTTAATTGAGATCCCTTAAAAGATACTCAAAAGAGATCATTATCACAGAAACAGCTTTCATCCTGGGTACACACCATATTTTCCCACATGTAAGTTCAGATTTTCTCCTAAATATCTCATTAGAAATATGCAGGGTCATCTTTGCAAATTAAACCTAGTTGATTTTGATCTATGCTTTAACATTGTCTTTCCATGTCAAAAACCTCTTAACTCTGACTTAACAATAAGCTCTGAAGGCAATAAAAAAACAAGCATATCTATAATGTATTCATGGGATTTGCCAATGGATTCAGACCAATAGTTTTGAACAGGCAGATGGTAAAGAGATAGAATTTCAAATGAATTGCACTGTATTACATGAAACGTGATGTGGAAATGAATAATAATTGTTATACAGATTTTATTTCACAATGCGTTTGATATTCTCAATTACATTATTGTGAGCAAATTACACATATTAGATTTATCTGCAAATTACCTGAATCTGATTGAATCGTACTTGGAGTCACATGTGAATGTTGTTGATTATGGAGGGCACAGATCTCATTCTTTTTCATAATGCTCTGATGTTCCACAAGGTTCAAATTTCAGACCTTTACTATTTGGTATTACTGTTAATGATGTTCAGGTTGACCTTCCATATTTTTCTTATTTCTTATTTACGCCGATGATATCAAACTATTTTTGCCCAATATATCTGAACTTGACTGCATTAACTTGCAACAGAGCCTTGATAGTGTACCCCTAATAAACTAACTGTAAATACTAGCAAGTGTCAGCTAATGTCCTTTTTTAAAACATCATGTATACAATATTATTATAACATATCTGGCACTACTTTAGCGTGGGTCACTCTTAAAAAAGATTTGGGCATATTGTCTGATCAACAATTTACATTCTGGCCTCATATTGAGCATGTAATTACCAGAGCGTATCGAGCATTACGATATCTTATGAGAACTAGCAGGAACCTAGAGACTATAACAGCACTGAGAACAGTCTATTTTTCAATTGCTAGATCAAAACTAGAATATGCAGCAGTTGTTTGGTCGCCTGACAGAATTGGTTTAATTAAGTCGCTTGACACTTGTCAGAGGCGTTTTGCAAAATTTTTAGAATCCAAGGACAATGGAAGTTATCTAGTTCATGGTTTTGAGAATGAATACCAGATTTGGGATAAATTACAACAAATTATTACATTTATTAAAATTATTCGAGGAATTATTTATGCGCCTGACTTCAGGCACCTGTCTCAGGCTTCATTTTCAATCTGTCAGTTTAGCTCTTGTTTGTTTAGTATCTTTTACAATCCTGTTTTCAGTAATATCTATATGCATAAATCTAAATTGTTCACATTAATGGAGTTTACTAATAATTTTCTGGCTAATAGTGATGCCAAGATAGATATTTTTGTTGATTCCATTAATTCTCTAATAGGGAATATAATTAATGATGTCAGTGCCTGTAATTAATTTTTTTGTATACCCAGATAGTCCTTAAATGGGATAATCAGCTGGACTTATTGTAAAAAACAACAACAACAACAACAACAACAACAACAACGAGCTGATTGAAGAGACTTTGTATTCTTCATTCAAATTCTCATGAGTGGGAACCTGCATTTTGCAACAAATCTAAATACATCCAGACAACTCTACATCTAGACAGAGATTCCCAAAGTAATGCTTAGCTGCTCCTTCCCACACTATCTACAGATCAGAGGTACCAAGATGTACGAGTTCGCAGTCCACAACTTGATTAAGCAAACATTTACCTTGATAATTTTAAGTTAATGTTTGTTAAAGAAGCAGAGGTCACAAACAAGAGTGCCAGGAAGAAAACCGTGACATGGAAGAGAATATTCTTAGGTCATGTCACAGAAAAGTCGAAAAATGTGAATTCAGCACACAAAAATTTCAGGGAAGCCTCAAAGTCAAGAGGAAGACCATAAATAAAGAAACAATATACATGTGAAGATGAAGATGGTAGTGGCAAAAATGTTGATTATCAGGAGCAAGAAAATAATGATAGCAAAGCAAAAAGATCTCTAATTGTCATCAACAAATACAATCTTGACAATATCCATATCAATTCAACAATTTGCAATTTTATTTCACTCAAGTAGTTAGAATTAGTTAAAAATGAAAGAAGAAGAAAAAAGAAAGAAAAAGGCATCTCAAAAATTAGAGCATTGACATATATTTGGGTAATTGTAGTATTTATAGGTTAAGTGACAAGATGAACCAACTTACACTATTCTTACTTAAAGGCTGAAGATGTTTAAATATATTTACCTTAGTTGAGGTGGTATTTCTCTCCATTATAGTTGTATGATCTACTTTTTTATGAAACTCTACATCATAACGAGTAATTTGACCATTTCGATGTTCTCTTGATGGAGGTTGCCATGTAACACAAACAACATCAGGTGTCTGAAAATGATAAGATATTTCTGTGGGAGGACCACCAGGAGTTCCTTCAGGAGTCTCTAAGTATTTAATAGTCTCTTGCCCAACGCCAATGTGATTTTGGCCAGCTACATGAAATTCATATTCCACACCTCGTTCTGAAACCATTGACCCAAGATTTTTTTATTAGAAATTATGAAAACACGAATAATGAAAATTGATAGAATGTTAATTGATACAAACCCAAATCGCTAATTTTGTGATGCTGTATTGATGTCCCTTTGAGCATTTCTTCTTTTAGAGGTTGTTGATCTTTTATACCATAGCGTAATCGATACCCTAACAATTCTCCATATGTCTGAGTTGGCCGACTCCATTCTAATTCAATTGTTACAGTTGGCTCTCTTTCAAGAATTCTGAAATAAATTCAAACAGAAAAGAAATGTAAAGCCAGAAAGAACTAAACTTGATCTCTGTTTTTTAATTTCAAAACCAGATGATTAATTTATACTGTTATATATGTTATCAGATGTGTTGCCACACAGTTCTCATGTAGAAAACACTTAGATTTAGATTTTAGTCAAAAAACAGTAAAAAACTGTACGTGACGTATGGGGGAGAAGATAATCTGCACACGTTTTCTTGAGTTCCAGAATCCCTTCCCATCATTTTAACTATAAATAGTTGAAAAATGAATAAAAGTTAAAAACAAATTTAAAATAATAATAATAATGATATTTTAAAAAAAGTCCGACAGTAGCAAGCACTTCATTATGAAGCTATTAATATACTCAATAATGTTAGTGGTAAACCATAGAACAAGAAAAAATTTCTAACATAATTCATTCCTAATTGCACAAAATAATTTAAAGAGAAGTTAAGAACTTTTAAGTCATGAAAACCAGCATAAACTACATAAGCCAACAGTAGTTGCGGTTGAAATTATTTTGAAAGATCAGTAGCAACAATGGACTAAGTGTCTGCAAGTGAGCAAAAATGGATAAAGCTTATTCAAATAAACATTGGCACAAAAAACCCTAGAAAAAAGGCTCAGGAATGTTAAAAAAAAGTTAATGAAAAGTTAATAACAACTGAAGACTTATCTTGTAACTTACGAGTATTGATACATGTGGCAAAAGTCGGGAGACAGTGCAGTCGGAAACCGAAGATGACAACAAAGCCATCATAAGCCGGCTCTCTGAATATATCCATTAAGTTGACGAAGATAACTTCAATTCTTTCATCACACACATATGCAGATTAATATTTTAAAGTTTGTTCATCAATTTATGAACAAAAAATGTTTAAAAACTTTAATGAGATTTTAAAAAATTACTCAAAAACAGTATGCTACAATTATAAGTTTACATACTTCATTCACTTCACTCATATAATCATTTTCTTCCTTTTCTAAACATTCTGAGCAAACAATATGATAGCACTGGTCGTGCTGGACTGCGAGTCCCATTCGCTGATAATTTTGGTATCACAGCACTGATCAAACCAAAAATTATGAAACATTTAAAACAACTGTTTGTAGGAAGGTTATTGGAATCTTGTGATTCTTCAGGTCAAAGATATTAAAAGGAAAGAGAAAAAGAAATTTGGGCAGAGTTTACACATGACTACTATAAGGTTAAGGCAGATATTAAAATATCTATGAATCTATAATATGTATCTATAAATAGATACATATTATTACAATTACAGTGTATTTCATTATCATGTTATACCAATTAGTATTAACAAAAACCGTCAATATCTAATATCAAGAAGGATATTTAAAAAATATTCTTATTCCATTATACCATTAAATATATTCTCTGTTTTAAAAATTCTTTAGCCTTTGTTAGAAATACATACTTCAGCGTTACAGTTGGTCTATTTGGAACTCCACCAGGTGTTTTAACTTGAACAGGTGGACTTCGATCACCATCTCCTTTCCGGGTTAGTGCAGCAACTTGCACAGAATACTTGGTGTCAGGCTGTAATCCAGTTACATTCATTTCTTGAGCACTTCCATCAAAAACTTCATAGCGAAGTGGATCATTCAGCAAACTTTTTCCCTATTTCAGAGAGATGAAAACATTTCATAGTCTCTATACAAAGCCTCAGTAATAAATAAAAAAGAAACTAAATAAATAAATCATTGAATAAAAGAATTCTTCATTTTAATCAATTATTCATATATTTAATATTTATTTGGTTATTCTAAAATTAGAAAAATACCATGTACTAAACGAAATATAGTAAAAATATAAAATATCGTTACCACATTCCATGTTACCATATTTTCTTGCATAGCATATCTGTATTTAAGTCCCAATCCCAATTCCATTAAATTACTCATTTACAAGTTTAATAATCCCACTTAGTACATATAAAGATTATTGGTTACATGTTCCACAATTCACAGTGCAGTAGCACTGCCATCAATGTGTGATCTTTCCAGGGTAGTTTAGGGCACTCGAGAGTACCAGACAGTACAGAAGGGCACTTTCACAGAACAGTCCATTTGATTATGAACCCAGAGCCAGAGAAACATGTTCTACTGTGCCTCCACCATCTTTGTTCTTTGTGTTATTGTGTAGTCATGTTACCATGCATTACTTTGAATTTGATAGACCAAGAACGCTATTTTGTTTTTATCTTTTTCCCTGACTGTGAGTATTATTTTTCATTTTTGTGTATTATTTGCATGTAATTTAATTTTTATTCATTACATTATTTGTAACTAAATTAGTTTATCTGTGTTTTCACATGATGGTTATATGAAAATTATTTTGGTTTCAGGTCAACTGTCCATTTGTGAAAGTCTCCAAAGACAGAAACGTCCACTGACATAAATGTCCAAAACAAAATGTCCAAGAGGCAAAAATGTCTAATTTTTTGAAACAATAAAATAGTTACATTGTAATGCAAAATAACATTAGAGATGTTGCTTGGCAAATCCGTAATTCATTATATTTCATTTTAAATTTCAATGGTACAATGGCTCAAATTGTAAAATCTCAAAAAAAATAAAAACATTTTGGTGAAAGATAAGAAAGTAAAGAGAGTACCAAAATTTATTGGTGTAAAGAAAGAACATCTTGCAATGCTAGATGTGTTATGAATGCTGATCTAGAAAACATAATTTTAATAAAACATGGAAGAAGAAACCACTTGCATGAAGCAGATTCTGTTGTTTTGTGAGTCAGTGTGACATTGAAAGAAAGAACTGCAGAAGGATCTCATGTAGGCCTGACAGCAATTGTAAGACAGGTTATAGGACATAATTGAAAATGAAGAAATTTTGTCAAGGCTACCAGAATGAAATAACCTAAACCCTCCGTAAATAAGGAACCAAATGGAACATGATCTCAGAACATTGAAAATTTGGATGAACTTGTCATTGGACAACTGTATGACAAAACAAATCGAGGTCAGGATTTTCTTATGTATCATAAATGAAATGCAAATGAATGACTGCCCACAGAAAGACTAAGTGCTTTCTCTTTCTTCAAACTATGATAGCCCTGTTTTCCCACCCTGAAATCTGTGGGCAAGCGATGGGGGAGGTTCACTAAAAGTGAAAGAGAAGCCAAAGGTATTTCACGCATTGCCAAATTGTGAAAACAAGTTGTGGTGTTTCCATACATGGGTTGCGAGTTAATCTAAAGACCTGGTAAGTGAGAGGTAGACATGCGCAAGGATGCAGAAGAGCAATCCCTCCAAGATATCCACCAGCAATCTGGAATATATACCTGCCTACACTGAACAGACACCCGAGGACGAATAACACAAGGGAAGCTTTTTACAGTAAATTTCAAAAGATGGTAGCTTCTCATCATGTATCTGGAGATTTCTTCAGATTATATGAAATGAACAACATGACAAAGAAAGTATTGTTGTTCAAATGCAAGCAGGCCATGTACACAATAGGCCTCCCAAAAATAAAAAATATATTACAAACCAAAGAAGAGTAGAAAATACTGGGCAAAACTACATTTATAAGAACACGAGAAACATTAAACTCTACCTGTGGGGAATTTACAATTTAAAACTTTAATTACAACCAGAAAAAAGAAGGCAGCAAGAAGAATGTGAATACATAAGGTGGACATTTTGTCATTTGACCCATTTTGTAATAAAATTTATGGACATTGAATAAATTAGACATTTTAACTCTGCACACATATTACTAAGCCCTCAGTGGCCCATTGGTTAGCATGCTCACTTTCCATGGTGCAACCCCGGGTTCAATTCTCGGTCGGGGCAAAAATTAATTGCGTGCTTTCCTTGCAATGTCCCAGTATCTGTAGCTGTGTGATGATGAGAAAGCTCACTTCTCAGGTTGTGAATACCATAAATTCACTTAGGGATGGCTATGTGCTAACCACACGTACCCCTTAATTTAAATAATGTCATCACACTGGTAAGTAATCAGAATAACTTAATTTTTTAAAGAAAATTTAGTGACATCTATGTTGATTTCCTCATACAGCATCAATAATGTAACTGCAAGCTGAATATAATGGTTTAAATTATATTCACATGAAAAAGGACTAAGTGAATTGAAGTTGAACCATTTAGTTTCAAAACATTTTTATTTTTTGAGATTTACAGATAAATGTTCGAATTTACTGTAAAGAAAATATGTAATAATGGTAAAATATAACAAATAACTGAAATTAAATTTATGGTTTGCCAATCATTTTCTCAGAGGACTTCAAACTTTTAACTTCCAAATATGAAGAACTCCAGCATTGGTACAGACACAGGAAGTTTGTAATTGTTAGATTGACAGAAAGGTCAGAAATTATAATTCTATAATTTAGAATTCAATCTAGTCATTCGATTGGCATTGTTATTTTTCATATCATTGTGAGTACAATTCTAATACCACACAATTCCAGTACCTCTTCTAATACCAAAGTACTAAAGAGTATATATTCAAGGCAAAAATGCTTTCCCAAAATAAATGTTTGCAGAAATTTTGATAGTATTATGATAACATGTCAGCTATGCCTAGGATGTGGTGTTATTTTGGACTACTAAGAAGATTCCATTGACTCCAGTTATGAAAGCTTGTCTTCATTAGACAAAATTATTAGCACTAAATAAATCTGTACTTTAACTCCTTTCATTCATGGGAAAAAAGAAAAACATCTCAGAAATATGAGAGTAGTATCTATACAAATGCATCCTTCCAGAAAATTCTAAGAGAAGTGTGGGTGGCATTTTTTGCAGGTTTAAGGCACTTAGAGAAGTGGCCAATACCTCTTCAATTGTTCTCACCAAGATAAACTGGTTGGAATTATTTTTAAGTTTATCTGACTAGAGGATTCTGGAAGAATTCTACAAAAAACTGTTGGAGTGAGGGGGAGAATGTTAAGGCACTCACAGTGGTGAAATTCTGTGAATTACTATGCTACTACCTTTCCAGCAGAACATGAATCTTTATGACTTCATACATTAGATTGACAACTTCATTCATTACATTGACAGGAATTAAATTTAATTATTATTTAAATTTAATTTTGTAGTGGCAAACATTTTTTAAAAATATTTCAAGCAACTCTCTTTACTGCAGGTTTCTATGCCCGAGGATGGATGAGCCAGGAAATAGTGTAATGTTTTAAAAAAAAGTGATTACGAATTTACAAAGCACAAATAAAATTTTTAACATACATATTACCCTCTGAGACACCATGCTAAGGTAGTACAAAGTATCTATATAGTATTCAACTAAACAAGTACATAAACAGTCACAATCCCAGTGAAGAGTAACATTTTAAAGTAAATGCATAGTAAAACGAATAATTCAAAATTTTAGAGAAGTTGAATAGGTAACCTACCTTCTTAATAATTGACACAATTTAACCCTACATTTAATAGGTACTACTAACCTCTTCTCCTGTCTCTTGCACATGAACATGATAGCCTCGAATAATTCCATTACGATCCTTTTCTAAAGGAGGCCGCCACTGAACTCGAATAGCAGTGGAGTTGATAGGAGTAACACGGACATCTTGAGGATCACCAGGCACTGCAACCAATCACAGTGAATTTTCATACACCAAAGTAATGGATGGCTGCATATAAAAATATCTGCTGATAATGAATTTTATAACACTCACACATTCATCAAACACACACAGATAGCAAAATAGCCTGATAAAGAGAGTGAAGAATATAAGCAAAATTATTTAAAAGCATCAAAGATAATATTCTAAGTATTTTTCAATCAAAAAAATGTTACATTTTATTTCTCTAAGTATATGCCAGTAAAGAAGTTACTTTCTCACTAATGTTTTTAATTGTTACTATCATTCAAGTGATAGGTTAAAATGAAGAATATTACTGAATAAGAGACATTCCTGCTATACTTATTTAATGATACACATGGAATTACTCAAAATTCAAACCACACTCAAAAGGTTGCCCAACTACAGTACCTTCTTTCCACTCCGTGCAATGCGAGAGAGACCAACAAATAACTCACCACCACCTTTACATTAGTTCCCTTGCTGCCTTTCGTTCAAGGAAAAATAAGTGAGGTACACAGATCTGCTTTCAATCAATAGGTTTTGGTCACCTTTCAAATCTTAAATTGAAACACTTGTTCTTCCCTTAACATTTGAATACCAACACATTTAACATACCCTTCAAGATGATATTAACAAGTAAATATGAAATCTACTGAATTCAATTTTTTCAACATGACATAAACTGATAGCTATTTCACGTACCTTTTTCACTATGAATGAAAAGGGCTCAGGACAGAAAGACCAAATCTACTTCTAAGTTTCCAAAAATAATATCAAAGAAGAAACAAAGGAAATGAGAGAGACAGAGTGAGAGAGAAATGGAAATATGAGAATACTATTAAAAAGTCTACACCAATAATTTGAAAATCAAACTAGGTAGTGCAAACTTGCTAAAACTACTCACACTGATAGTCTAATTAACACAACAAGAAGTGTGAGTGAAATACTTACTGCGCTCTGCTCAACCGGAAGAACCCAACAGTCAGGGGAAAAAGTGGAAAAAATTGTAATGTAAGTGAGAAAAGTAGTTTTTTTTCTACATAGCAAAAAAGTTTGTATTTCTGTGTAAAAATGTATTTGACTCTCCGACACCAGCAAAATAATTCTACAGTGGCAGTTGTTAATTTGTTTCTGCTATAAAAAGGAGCGCATGTTTCTTGTTGTTTGTAAAAATTGCTTTCCAGAGGTCTTCAAAAAACAAAATGAAAAATGAAAAAAGTGTTCTTTTCTTTTTTTCAGAAAAAATGTATTTAAGAAAAATGTTTCTAGCATGCACAAGTTACTGGTCAAAGTAATACTACTATATTCTGGAAAAAAGGATTAGAGACATAAGGATCTTTTATGAACTGAAAATATTTTGTGTTCAATTTTTAAATACCATTTTCACCACTGAAACACAAAATACCAAAAGTACAACTACCAAAAAAGAAAATACAGCTAAAATAATTTATTTAAAAGGATAGAAAAAACTTTAAGAAATAAGAAGTTAAGAAACAATTTTCACATAATAAATTAATAATGAGATTGAACCTGAACAGAACAATAAAAATATCTAAAATCAACCAAGAAGAAAATTAAAGAATAAAAGATAAAATGTGAGAGAAGAAGGATACAGCTTTTCGTCTGGTTTGACAATAAGAAAAAAGGCAATTTTGTATCTGACCTTAACATGAGCAAGTTTTTAATAACTTTTACTCACTCATAGAATGTTGGGAAATACAAAAAAATAGAAAAGCCAAGAGGAGAGGAGAAATCTACAAGGGAAAGGAAAAATTCCCAGAAAGATTTGAAAACACAAAAACAAATTTAACTAATACAAATATTCGAATAAAGAAATGAAAATCCTAAAAGCAAGAAATGTGACCAACATAATATCACACACACACGCAACAGTTCAAATCTGTGAATTACAGATCATAATAGCACATTCATACAGTGCCATCCATTTCTAAGAATATGCCAATTCGTTAAGAAACACATAAGAGATGTATACACAGAAAATGCACAAGGATAATAAAACTCTAATTCAGTGAACATAAACACGTTTTCTACAATGTTACTTCACTTCTGGCAGGGAATAATACTTAGAGGAAATATAACACTGAACGATTTAACTTTGGGTTATACTTAATACACTATTTCATCCACAATGATTCACTTATACAGAACTGCATTTCAATACTCAACATTAAATATATGCATATTTCTTAGAAAGAGGATAGAGCATGGACTTTAATACGCATAGGCTGCTGAGTGAATTCTGCAAGTCATGCACAAATAACAAGTGAAAAAGAAAGAAAGAGATACTCCTTCAAAATCCATAGGTTGGTTTGTTGAATGCCACTCAATGTGTCCCGAACGTGTATTGGTATTCAAATGTGATTCATGTGCTAGTTTATTAAGACACGAAATGCTCTAACAGACTATAAGGCTTCATTACAGGTACTGTTAATGTGTTCAGTACTGTGTTTTGTTAGGAAAATTTACTATGGAGATTGGATAGTTGCTACAGACACAGTCTGTGATCAACAATATAAAAAATTGTTTATTCAAACGACACACAGGAGTTTTGTGACATCCTACTTTTGTCTTGCAATGTTAAGAAACTTCATACACAGACTGTATCAATGGTGTTTTGTGCAAGAGTTCAGAGGTGAACCCACATTTATGTTAGATGCAATAAACAAAAACTGTGAATATCTAAAAATATCACTAGAAATACTCAAATACTGCAGTGCAAAGTGAAGTGTAGCTATGAATATTCATATTTACCACAATGCAGAAGCCTTCGTATTATATTTTGTAACATGAAATTTGTACTCTTGAAATAACATATATAGATAGTTTTTGATATCAAGTTAATAAATAATGAACAACAATGAATAGGCATACGTCTACTAACATAAATACATTAAAAATACAGGCATATTTCTTTAGACGTACACCTTCATGATATAAAGAAAATATAAAAAGAAGGCTAAACTGCGTGAATATGAATATTCATATTTCTAAAAAACACACACACGCGCGCGCACCACACACAAACGTGATTAGTACATAACAGCGAGACAAAAAAACACAAATCACAGGTGCAGAATTAATCACAGTGAAAAAAGTGCCAGATTCAATGAGTGCCTAAGTGATTCAACATGGTGGACAAAATGTGCTTTGCCTAAAATTAAGACCTCAAGATTTCAAGGAGACTTGGGTTCTTAGGTTTGACACTGCAGGTGAGTTGGCGCAATGGGCAGATGTGATGGACATTGAGGAAAAACTTTGAGCATGCAAGAAAATGTGAATCTAAGATACAAGTTGTGCAATAAAAAAGATAAAATATTTCAAAATCATAAAAAACAAATTGAAACAATAAAACCAAAATCAAAATTGGTGCTGTGTGTATTTTTCAAAAAACATTCAAGTGACTCAAAGTGTGCTGGTGAAAAGCAGGGTCATTACAATATGTGAGAGTGAGTGATTACGCATTTGTCGAACATTTACAATATAAAAAAAGAAAACAAAAATAACAAAGTTATGGGGGGAATACGTTAATTTTCGTTTTCTTTTTTTAGTACGAGAAAAGAAAGAGCACCGACAGTGTTACAAAAATATAACAAGCCATAGAAAGTGGACAGTTCAAAACCTCTCCCAATTCAGCAGCTGGAAATGCTTTTGTAAGAGAAAAAACAGAAACACAATTAGCAAAAGGTTATTTTGCACTTCAACCGCAGAGAGTCAAAAATGATAGTCAAACACTCACACACACAAAAAATATCATTTTCAAAAATTCAATACAATTCTATCAAAAACCCATTTTCAAAAATTTCTTATATTAAAAAAGTTTAATTCTTTCAAAAATGCATTTCCCCAAAAATTGTTTAACTTGAATTCAATAAAAAAAGGTGTTTCATAGATTTTGCTTAATAGTTGTGGATGGGAATAATGATTCACTGTATGTATGGTTGTCTTGTGATGGAATGAAGGATTTAGGAGAAGGATGTGAGGTAAATAATTATGAAGTGTTTGGATGGGTCTTTTAATTTCAAATCTTAAATGATCCCTAGAGTTACAAGTTATCTGCATTTCTTTATGAATTGTAATGGTAAAATACTAGTGATTACTGAATTATTATTTTTTGTATTTTATTATGATTCTAGTTATACTTCATTTCGTTTCAGATAACATGAATTTCCAAAACGTGTGAGTAGCAAATACATATCATTTGTTAAATGGTAAATAGCAGTTAATACTTCTATACACAATAATAAAACACAACTTGTAAAAAGACTGAAAAAAACATAAATTGAAAAGTTTATTTTTCAATACACAAACCATTATATTTTCCAAATTATTCAAGTACAAATTTATTAGAAAAATGATAAAATGAACAATAGTATATCAATGAAAATTCAAAAAAGTTATCTATTTGTGAAGACATAGAAATGAATATGAAATAACGTAAAAGTCAATATGAAATGAGGACAAACATGAGAACCATCTGAAACAATGCACTAACACAAACTTACATAATAGGATACTCTTACTACATGTTGTAAATATTAAATAACAATTTTCTAATAAATTTATGCTTGAATATTCAAAATGCTACTCACACTATTCTGGAGTCATTCAATATCTCTCTCAATTATTCCCCTGTATCTGAGTGTATTTCCAGCCCAACTGTTGTTTGTTTATTGTGTTGTACGTACCGTCCTCATGAGTACGCACAGTGATGGGGAAACTGGGCGGACCATCGCCGACACTTGTTCCGGCCAGGACCCAGATGCGATACTCGGTCCAGCGTTTGAGTTCATCCAGCACAAACGATGTGGTGTTGACTGTGGTCACTGCAGCTTCAGAGTTGGATCGTCCGCTTTCCACCGACTGGAGCTTGTAGTACACGATGCGCCCGTTGCTGCGTTCAGCCGGAGGCGGTGACCACGACACACGGATAGACGTCGGACCCACTGCTTCCCCAGACACGTTCTGAGGGGGCGCCCCAGGAACTGTATTGTGGGGGACACTCTTGTTGAATAAACCGGCTATCCGAACTTCATTTCCCTTACCATTTTACACTAATCTTTTTCTGCACAATATTGGCAGAAGAATGGGTACCTATTACCTACCTTTAAAGGCACACCCCACAACAGAGGTGATGAATTGAAATAATATATCCCAAGTGGGTAAGATGTATACATCGATGTCATGAGAAAAGGATGAATTTAATAAGGGATATGAAAGGAAGCGGTAGGAAGTGTGTTAGATAAGATTATGAGGAGTGATGGTTAACTGTGTGGATGTCTAGTTATAAGTGCGATGTGAAAAGTGGTATATTTCAAGGATGTAAATTGGTGAATAAATAATATAATCTTTGCCAAATACCGAGTTTTCAAAAAATGTACGTACCCAAAAATAAATATATGGTACAGTACAGTATGAATTCATTTATCAAAAAACACTCTTTTGAGAAGAAAATATGTATTAGTTAGAGAAGAAAAGGTGTTAACCAAGCAATTTAATTTGCTTCAATGTGCATTTCACACGCACACTCACGCACTCTCACACACTAATACAAAACGTGTGAGTGAGAATATATAGAAAATTACTTTTACGTGGAAGTGCACTCAAAATGCACAATTAATATAACGATGCAAATTGGTGCAGTGGTGTAATAAATACTTTTAGGCTGTGCTGGAACAGTGGAAATGAAGCCATTGAATAATAATGATAAAAAAAGGATATATATCAAACATTCCAATATGAAACATGCAATGCTTGTGGATTACAATACACACACAGTGAATAAACACAACCAATCAAGTGGGCTATTTATTATTACAGTGGTGAGAGTGATCAAAAAATTACTACTGTGCTACAGGTCTGAGTAAACCAAATATAAGAGTTCTGAGGTATTGTGGTGATTTTTTATTCATCAACTTAATTTTTTTATTCTTTTTTCTTTTCTGAAATAGTTTTGTGAACGATGACCTCAAAATTCTTACTCATGGTTACTTTGCACTCTCTGTGAAGGTTGCATTGAGTGATCAATAAATTAAGACATTTTGTGAATTTGCGAATACTGTACTTGTATTTACCAATGTATTAATATGTACTTTACGAGGTGCGGCTGCAAACCGAGTGATATTTTCTACATGTTTGTTGTTGTACTATGACTTAATAAGTGAAATGCCCAAGAACAAACATAGCAGACAAAGATGCCAGCATGTTGTAGGCATGGCCAGAGGAGTTTCTGCCAACTTACCTTCTGAAGAGAAGAGAAATTTCACCCCAAGATAACCACATTCACACTATGTTAACTGATGATACACCTACATTTGAATCACTTGCTTCCACCCCAAACATTTCATATAATCAGATATTAGGCAGTGTTATATTACAAACAAAACTGCCTACTTTTTCCAACAAAGGCATTGAAAAGCTTGCCTCAGTTTGTTCAACCTTACCGTACTGTTTGGTTCGGACAGGAATTGGGGGAGTGGTTGCCCCCTCCCCTCTCTGAGATCTTGCAGCCAACCAAATGTAGTACAAAGTGTTAGGATACAGCCCATCCAATGTAAAGCTCTCAACAGCAGGAATCTTCCGATGATGTTTTTCCTAAAATTTTCAGATATACAAAATATTATATACTAAGTAATATGACGTGTGATACAGAAAAGTGATACAAGAGAAATAAATATATTTCAGTTATTTCTGTTTATAAGTAATTAATCACAAAATATATAAACAAAAGAACTAACATTATATACATATTATCTTAGCGAAAATGAAAAAGACTGAATGAAAAATTATGCTTAAGTAGTTTGTACACATATAAATCATAATATTTCTTGTTTCTCAAACTGAAAATCTTTATCTATTATTTAAAAAGCAAATCCCAGTGTAATACTCTTGGCTGTCCAGGTGACATTGTTTTAAAAGCTGTGATGCCATCATCTCGACCATCTTGTCGTAGTCTTCTTCATAGCTGAAGTTGACACATCAGCCCTGAGGATGAACATGGCAAGAGAGTTGAAATGTTGGCATCACAGCCTTTGAAGTGGCATCACTCAGTCAGCCTAGAGCATTCACATGACTGGTTGGGAAGCCTTTGACATCAATCCAAATGTAAGCAGTTTGATGCAGCCAAATGAACTAGCAAAGAAACACACCTTTGCGTAAGTGTCATTCCAGTATAACTCGTAGCTAACAATGTTCTCGCTGGAATGAGTAGGGCGATTCCACAGCAAGGTCACTTTGGTTTCACCAATGTCGCTAGCTCGCAAGTTGCTTGGTTGGCTTGGAACTGCAAAACAAAACGTACTATTGTAGTAAATATCATCTTTGTCAATTGTAAACTGTTGTAAATTGTCATACTGGAGGGACTAATGCTATTCAGAACAAAACTTCATGATTGAGATACCTCCTTGCTGAGTTTTAACTTGAACTGGAAGTGAAAGAGGGCCTGGTCCTATGCTTGTGAAGGCTTGGACACGGATTGTATAAATAGTGTGTGGAACCAAATCACTAATAGTTGTCAGCTGGTTGTTATCAACCATTTGAGACTCCCATGATGCCATTGAAAGAGAAGGATTAGTTGTATAATATACTTTGTAGCCCTGAAAAGATGTTAATATATATATATTAATATTTATATTATATTATATATAAAAATATACAAATTATTTTTAATATTGCCAAAAAATATATTTAATATCACATACAAAAATTGTAGGGATTAAAATTAAAACTGCAAAGAACTACAACAGAATTAATGGACTAATATTTTTTATTCTTACTTCATACCCTCTCTTTTTCCCCCTCTAACTAACTCACATGTTGAGCCTTAATTCACATGTTACATACAGCAAAATAAAAAAAAAAAAGCGAATAACAATCAATTTACTGAATTCAAAATTCTTTCAGAGCGTTATTTTTATGCAATTGATTTCCAATACATATTTCTTTGTATTCAGCAACATAGATGTATGCACAGGGTGTTCAGGGGGCTGTGGTTCCACTGAAAATTTTGAAAGAGATCATGTAGCCTTTCATAATAAAACATTTCATTTTCTTTAAAAATGTTCATTACCAGATTTTTCCCTTTTGTAACCAGTAATTTGAGGAATTATTAAATGACATGTGGGGAAGAGGCTCTGCAGCCATTTGGCAACCCAATAAATAGTTCAACACAAAATTAATTACATTTATTAATTGTATTAATAAAGTTATAATTTCATTCTCGTTGAAATATTTTTTTTTAAATTTATTTATTTATTTTTTTTCATGAAATTTGTCTTACATATGTTAAAAAGTTGAACAGGAAAGGGGGGCCCCAATGTAGTGGGCTGAATCTTGTTTTAGGCTGTGCACACCTAGCAGCAATGCCATATATCATATTATTAATTAGTTTAGATCAGTAACAAAACAGTTCTAAAATAATTAACCTACACATTTTTCTTTGCAGGAAATTAGCAGTGACTTTAACTTCCTTCGCAGAAAGTTGTAACAGATTTGCTGTCTTCAAATATGTTATAAGTAGAAGTAGCCATTTGTATGAGGTAATATGTATAGAATATATAGAAAATATTTGAGATTGCCCTGCTGCTATATATACATTCATTCTTAACATGCATCTCATCATAATTCGAATAAAACATGCATCATTACAAGTATTGAGTAATATTTAGAAATATGCAACATACTGTCACTTGACCATTTGGTGTTTCAGGTTCATCCCACTGGATTACCATAGTGCTGGAACTCAGAGGTCGAACTTGGACATTCCGGGGAGCAGTTCCTGGTTCTACACAAAAAAAAAAAAAAAAAAAAAGAAATTGAATGTAAACATAGAGTGATGTGTTTGGGAGGTGGAAGTAATATTTCTAACATTTTTCATGCAAAAAAATCACAAACATGCCAATAAAAGATGGAAAATGTATATGTCAAAGTTCAAAATTACATGCTTACATTGACTTTCCATTCTCAAAAAATAAGGGTATTTAAGAAATAGAAAATAATGTTTAAAGGGGTTTGGAATATATAAACACAACCTTTGAGTTTCATTGCATTATCACTGCATTGAATTCAAAACAAATACTTTCTGTCAAATCAAGTGACACATTAAAAATAATCCAAATACTTTAAGTCATTCAATACATTTTTAATTTGTTAGCAGGAAAGAAAATATTCTTAATAATACACACACACATTTCAATAAGGCAGTGAATAGTTATAGAATCATAGAAGTGAGCAGGCAGAAAATAATCCACAAATAATTCATTATTTCACCAAAAAATGATTGTAAGCCTTTAATGCTTCTACATGAAAAAACAATATCGATTTTAAGTTTTCACATCTACCATTGAATTTATATTTACATTCAACAAAATAATTACACAAAAAAATAAACAATATTATTGTAACTAAAACAGATGTTTTATTTATCTAATTGAGCAAAATCCTTTTCAAAAAGCACATGTGGGTTCTTTCTATTTTAATATTTTCAATGTTTATAAGTCCGAAATGCAAGTATGTAATTACACATTAATTTGTATTTTGAATATTTTAAATACAATTACCATCACTAACTTTCATTGCAAATCCTATAATTTTACATAAAATGTATAAAGACTCAATAGTTAATCTTCAAAAGAAGTTCTCATGTTGAGATAATTACTTTACAAAGTAAAAATATTTTTGTCTCAATCTCAATGCATCATTTTGTTCGCCTCCTTAATGTTCTCAAGGGCAATAAAAATTATACTGAGTGGATACAATATTAAGCACATAAGGAGGGAAAAAATAATGCTATTGTCGATTGCCATTACAGAACTTCCTACATGATATACTCTTTCTACTTGATACTTCCTAGTTGAGAATACTTAAATAATACTGGTCACAATTATAAAGGTATACTATAACTCATTTGTGAACAATAAAAATAAAAGCAGAAAAGTGTTTACACGGTCAAGTCCTATAAACATATTTTCATATCATTTTCACTTAAATGTTTAAAAAAAACAATAAAAGTAATTGTATGTTCAAAGAACTCCTGACTACTCAACTTCATTCTTTAGTATGATTATGAATTCAATTTAAATACTTCATATATAGTAAACTATTCACAACAATCCTTCTCCCCAACAAACTTTTTGGGAACAGATATATTTTCCCAAAAGACCATTGTAATTTAGGGCCGACTAATCCTAACCCACACCAACAACCACTAGTTTACCTCTAAAAGTAACTCTTTTTTCCATTTGAGACACCCTCCAACTGTCTCAAAAACAAAAATGTCTAATTTCAATAAACATATATTCTTCTTTCGTGATCGAGTAGTGTGAGGTAGTATCCTTAGTGGATACATTAGCCATGGTAGGCATGTAGCATGCCTAGCTGCTCCAGTTTCACTTGCTTATACATCTGGTCTATCCTTTAACCCACCATTGCTCCCCATAAGAAAACAAAATTCTGTTTTTATGAAAACAAACACGTTTTTGCATTTATTTCAATAAAGTCAACACTTCTCAACAGCTGTTGTTCAAAACTTGCTTCCTCGCACATGACAGTTTGGTAACTACCCATGTTTCTTATCATATCTATGAAATGAATTCATCTCATAAAGTGTTGATTGTTGTGCAGCTTCTTGTAATTTTTCATAAGTGAGTAATCGCCTTACATTAAAAGATAACCATCTTAAATTGCCCACAAAGCTTTCTTTCTGTTCCTTCCACAGAACCAATGACAAATTTGAGAAAAGGAAGAATTTCAGAAAGATTAGTAAAGCTAGCACCCCCATTTTCTCAAAAATAAAAAATTCTTGCATAATTTTGGGCTAATTTGAGCTTATTTCAGAAGAAGAAAACAACAACAAACAATTCGGCTATCCCAAACACCTCAGCATTCTGAATTCTAAAAAAGAACTGCTAGATGATGAGTAACATCTAGCAATCGAACTTTCTCAAAATTCTTCAACTTTTTATACCCTTTAAAACAAGCAGATTTTGAATCACTTTCCACAATTTTGAATCTCTCTCCTAACACAATAAAACACATTTTTCTAACTTAACAATATGTTATTTTCTGATTTTATCCACTAAAAAGAAAACAAACTATAAGGCAAGTAAGTGTAGGAGTAAATAAGAGAACAACACCCTACATGGACTCGGAGGATGGTGCTAGAGGATTGTCAAAGTTACAAAACCAGACTTGCAATTTGTTGACTTTCATGTAGTTTGTTGGCATTTCTATCTAGTTTAGTTTCTTTCAACTAGGTTGACACTTTTATCCCCAGATGACAAAAGATTAATGAAATATGCAAGAGTGCTTGAAAAAGTGTATTAAGAAAGTATTATAGTACATTTCAATTATTGGCGAAGGTCTGATTTATTGTCTCAATCATGTTGGATAGTGCAGACTTGAAATAAAGTGCTAAGAGATGTAACATTCCCATTTAGAATAGAGTATTAGGAAATTAATGGACAAATCCACCTCACCTCCTTATGACAACTACCCCTCCAGACGACCACTCTTCACTACAAATTTAGGGTGGTTTTCATAAAGTGGTTTACTTGCACTGCATTTGCTTTAAGAAAAAGTATGCAAAATATTTTTTTTTAATATTAGCTATATCAATTCATCTTTGAATTATATCATAGTTGATCAAAATTTCAGAAAAGAACTTTAAAAAATATTTTATGGACTTATTTTTTTTGTTAATTGAACACATAAGTGCATAATGGGTAAATAAAAAACATACAGATCATTTAGGAGATCGCTATATTGTACTGTCAGTCAAATGTATAGGATACTTTGACTGTAAATACACTAGATAAAATTGACACTAAATACACTGAGTGTATGGAAGACCAATATCCATCCACCTCAAATAGAAAAATCATCAGAAAAAAAGCAGAAGTAATTATTGAAAAGATACATGCATAATTTCCAACTCCAGTGCTGCAGAGCTATACACATTGCAAAGCAAATCTACAGTTGAATGTGCAAGATATAATCAGATAAATTATGCCCCCTTTGCACATGCAGCTCTATATATCTATATATCTATCTATATATCTATATCTATATCTATATCTATATATATATATATATATCTATATCTATATATATATATATATATNNNNTATATAGATATAGATATAGATATATATTTAATTTTTTTGTGTTCCTACAAACTATTTCAGTAATTAAATAAAACAAAACTAGAAAATATTCATCAACATTCTGAAATATGATATGCTTGCAAATCATCGTGAATAGCCAGGAGTTATATTATTCTTTGAAATCAACACTAGGGCAAATTATTATATTTCTAATATTAACTATTTCTGCCTCTCATAAGTATTCTCCACAAAGTAGTATATGAAATCTAATTAATACAAAATTTGGTTCACATTTTTTAATGTTACTGCCAACAATTTTGTTACTTTACGTTACTTTTTAAAATGTTGCATGTGAACATTTTTAAAATTTATAATTGTATGATACATTCAATTAATAATAACTAAAATGTTTGATAATGCAAAAATATCAGATTTAAACTTGCAGTAGTTCTTTTTCAAAATCAAATAACATAATACTACATAATACTAAACTTTAAAAAAAAAAAAAATTATATTACAATTGACCTATCATTTCCAAAAAAACATCAACTGTGAAAATAATTACAGTGATCATACATAAAAAGAGGCTAACACCAGAATCATCACTAGAAGCAACACTTGACAAAGGAGAAAAACTGACAAGTTGAAAGTAATAATGTGAATAAAGGTTCTGTGGATTCTGGTAATAGAGGGATGAGTAAGAGTGTGTCTAAATTTGCAGAAAATATCATCTGAAATCAGAGAATCTCAAAAAATTGGGATACACACTCAATTTCTCATTTTGTGAACATTGGGTGCAATTTCTCTTTTAGTGAATTATTTCACTGGTTATGATTAAATTACAGTATTGGTAATTGTTCTGAAGAAGAAACCATCAGACATTCCAGTGATATGCAGGCAACAGAACAAGAAATACTACACAATTGGTCAATATGAACTGTCAAGTGGAACTTTCAGTGAAAAGTGCAGTGACTGAAAAACATAAAAAAGTATAAAAAACAATTATTCACATGAAAAGAAATCACAATGCTTAGAACACAAATATTCCCAAAAATTATCATGCCTCCTGAAAAAGATATAAACAGAAATAGGCAGCCACAAAATAACACAGATGACTACATCCATATTTCATCACACCTGGTACTGGGAAACACAAGAAAAACCAACATGCTTTTAAACATGACAATGTTACTTACTGGCACCTCCAAAAACAGCATCACCTGCAAACAAATAATATGCATGTATAAAAGAATCGCCTGACAGGTTATTGCAAGATATGACACACAGGAACTGCAGATTTGCAAGCTGAGAAGAATACCCATGAACAAAGTTCACATTTGATTTACAATATATTCTTCATGCAAGTTGACTGTTATTATCTTATTAAATTTTGAAGGTTACATTAATTCATGAAAAACAAAGACTTATAAAGGCTAAATGAATATGTTAAAAGTAATTGTTAGAAACAATCAAGAATGTACATTCTTAGATAGTCCTTGCACAAAGAAACATATCAGGGTATTTCAATAAAATACACAGAACATGTATCTATATTCTACATTGTGTACCCAAACAAGATAAGTGCACTCATGCATTACATATCAAAAACTTAATAAGAGAGAGCAGAGAATAGTTATTTGTAAAATTGATGTTAATTATTTAATTTGCAGATTGCAACGGCCAAATGTGTTCTGATATTCTTCCTAAAACTTCTCAACTCACTGGAATCAGGGATGAACACCACCCAGAAAAGCAACCAAAAGTTTAGTGTAATTGTATGATGTGCACGTAGAATCTTCATGTTCCAAATAACAGAAAAAATACTTAAACTTATAATTAATGTGAAAACACCCTTTACCCTATAATATTTTAATATCAAGTATATTATTTTGCTTTGCTTATTTAATTTTAAAAATAGACAAACTTTATAAATATGAATTTTATAAATATTAGAAATTATCAACGAGATTAAGAAAGAAAGAGCACTAAAACATTAAATAAATAAATAAATAAATTTAAAAAATTAAATAATAATAATAATAATAATAATAATAATAATAATAATAATAATAATAATAATAATAATAATTATTAAGATTAGTCTAAAAAAAATTATTTAAAGCTCAAAATAGAAAAGTGTTGAAACATCAATGGTCAGAATAGGTAAGTACAGAATTGCAGGCATTCTGTTAATTGCAGAAATCAATGCTCAAAAGTGATCAGAAAATAAATGAACTGAAAACAATTAATATTTATAAAAGATAGAAAATACTTTACAAAGAAGAATAGATGAGAGAGAGAGAGATACTATCAAAATACCCAAGATGTGATATAGAAAGTTTCAATGAATTGGATTAAATTTGGAAGAAATGTAATATTTCAGGAATTATTCAAACAGACAATTAAGACTTCTTACCTCTGATATCGTATACCAATGACAAACACATCCATTAATAGGGTGCAAAAGGGCAAGTTTGAGGGGAAAATAACAAAGAAAAAATTATATAAGAAAGAAAGACAGCACCAAAACAATTTCTTCATTATGTAAGTAAGATCGAATGTGACTTCAATTTTTGGTTTCAAAAAAACTGGGGGTGCATTTTAAGAACATATTCAGAGCATCAAAAGGTAAATACACCAAAATGTTCCTCTCAACATCAATTATTTCACAAACCTATAACTTTTGGTCAATGGAAACCCTTTTAAAGAAATTACTGCAAAGACAATGTGATAGCTAAAAAACAGTTGAAAAACATTTCATTACTTTACTTCGCATTTCCCTGTATTTAACTGTTTTTTGATAAGTAATAGTACCTTATGAGGAAAATATATCGATGAAGCATGCTTATTTTATTTAAAGAAGGCAAGTGCAAGAGTGAAAAGGAAAAGTGGCTACTGTGTTAAAACATTCATGCATTTGTAAATGCACTGCACTTTTTGGGTACACAAATGCACACACTATTTGATTCAATGCATGTGCAACACAATTTCCTTTGTCTTCTATTTAAAAACTGTAAATAAATTCCTCTTTAAGTTTTTCTAAATACAATTTTATTTAATTCACAAAAATACTCTCTTCATTTAATTTACAAAAATACTTTCAAATGGTAGAATAATGAAATCTACATGGTATATAAATGCATATAAAGTTGAAAGAATGTCATGAAAGCAATATGTAATTGCTTGAATACTAGACAAATGAAACAACAGAAATGTCTAATTGCTGTAAAAACACAAAACACAAATTAAGTGAGAAAAGGTGCATCATTGACAACAACACTCAAGTGATGCTGGCATCTGATTCATGCCTGAAAGCACGTTAATGTTCCCTTCATGCGATATGGTACAGAAAATTCTTCAGAATCGCAATTACAAGAAACTGCAGTATAGCGCTGCAGTAATCTATGCACTGTATTAAGAAAGAAAACAACAAACAGACAAATTATAAAACAATATTGCATCATCTCTCTATATGTATGAAGATTAAAGTCTACCACACACATCTGACAGACACTGGATAAGGGTGGAAGGGCTACAAAATGTGAGACAAGAGGATAAAAGAGTGCACTGGCCTAACAGCTAGGTGAAATTCACAAATCTAAATAAAACTAGACTATAACGCTATCACTCATCCTGGCAACCAAAACATTTATTCTTCATTCATACACAACACATGTTTAATGAAAACTTACATTAATTTCCCAAGTTTTAGCATGAAAATCAAAAAATTGATTTTCAAAAATCAGAATTCAAAAATTGGCTTCACTTTTTAAAATTAAAAAAATATATTACTGATTTCAAAAATATGCAGCTAATGTGAAGAGTATTTCACAAAACACTTAGAATTAATTATTCAAGGTAAAAGTAGATGGACTTTCACTTCTTCCCAAAAAATACGTCAAAAGAGCAATAAAATACAAAACACAAAGCAAGTTGTATGTCAATAAGTATTTCATCAGAATAGGAGAAAAGATGATCAAAACATATGGACTGTACCATTTAAAAATTTATTACACCTGAAATTGATGAATTTGTCTTTACAGAATTAACACAAAGAATTCATATGAAGATAAGAAGAGAAGTATGTTCATTCCTTCATTAAAATACAGAGCACAAAGGTTCTGTCTTTGCAAAAGAAACACTCTTACTACTGTGCTTCACTCATAATACAGCAAAAAACTTGGAATTATGTCATATTAGCAAAAATATTTTCTAGCGTTATACATATTAAGGGAATCCTCCTAATCTACTAAATATATTCCCATTAAGTGATAAAAAATGAAGAGAGATGAATATCAATAATATTTAACATGGTCAGCATGTTAGCTTTGGGTGGTGTGATCCTATGTTTTATTCCCGGTAGGAGAAAAAGAAGTGCTATAGCTTCCCATTACAATAGTGTCAGTTTCTAAATCTGTGTGATGAAAGAAAAGCTCAGGCAGGCCAAGTATGCTAGAATGGTGAAGAGAATACATTATGCTGGCCACATGTCTCCTGTAACTCCAGGTGTGGATAATAAATAAAAACAGGGCCCAGGCCTGAGAACCCTAGTAAAAGTCTGATAAGTACAACCCTAATATGTCAAAAACATACACAGGTTGGTAATAAAATTGGTTTATTGAAAAATAAAAATTAGTTTATTGAAATTGAGGGTATTTTTGAGTGTTATGATAGATATGATTTGTTTTCGTCAAAGAACATTAAAAACTGTATGTGATGCATAGGGAAGATTACACATATTTTCTTGAGCTCTAGAAACTTTTTCCAACCCTTTAACCACAAATAGTTGAGTAATGAATAAAAAGACCAACAAAGAAACATTAACAACATTTGAAAAGCAGACATTTTTGTTCCTGAGATATTGAAAAGTTATTTGCATTGGTAAATGAACTACAAATTTAATTTTTTAGTATTGCCAACAAAATAGTAGTTCATATCCCTGGCTCTACTCCTACCACAAGAAGCAAAAGGAGAACTCAACAAAATGTGCATATAAATGAAGTTTCATTTATATCCAGAAGTAAAATAATTATCATCTCAGCATTTACTCAATGGATCTGGGAAACAAAAACCTGATCAAAATGGGGATTGATGGGGAATGGAGATTTGCTGATACTTATATTAAAGAGAAATAAAATTTCTCTGGAAGTTTCTTACTGCAGGTTGCAACTAAACAAGAATCTTCATATACATGTTATAGGCAAAGAAACATTTTAATAATGTTGATTTGATAAGTATTAATTGCTACTTTTTATCAACACGATTCATAGATTTAAATAGGACATGAATCTATAAATTTGAATATATTGTGATATAAATATATATGTATTGCCGGGTATTGTGGGTTGCATTTGACATTTTTTTAAATTTTGTCCTTCAGCGCCATGAGTGCATGGAGTTACATCAAAATTAACAGCACATAACTCTTGTGAGTGAAAAAACATGGCAATGTGACAAGTTTCATGGAGATTGTTCACACAGTGTCACAGTTAATGGTTCAGAGTGAGAATTGGCAATTTTCTTCATAGGGGTATTTAAAACTTCAGGAGGGGACCATCAAAGAATGGGTAGTGGAAAAAGTACCATCTTTGTTTAAGCAACACAATTAGAATGAATTATAATAATGCTCTAGATAATGCTCTAAAATCTAATTTCTGTCATTTTGATTTTTTCATGTGAACACTTCAGGTGGAAATCAAAAGTACAGCATCTAATATGTATTGATGATATGATGGTGATTGGTGATATGATTAATTGTATCCTTGGCAAGGAGAAATTAATACTTCTCTAGCATGGGACAGCAATCTCACTAAGTGGGGACAATCCCCAGCATCCCCTATGTGAAAATTACATCTTGCTTTTCCTTTCTAATAGATAATTGTGATAAATAAATATCTGTTATGCTTTCATTGTTCTTGAACGTCGAATGTTGGGTTTTGCTTCATTTCATAGAAAGTCAGCTTAGGCAGCTTGAATTTTTGTTTTGGAATTTAGCATGTAACTTGGTGAACTATTGACCTTAGTGAATGTTGAGATGAAGTATCAGCTACTGGAGATGCTTGATTCAGTTATCAGTCCCATAAAACTTTTCCTTCCTCATTCTAGAAAATTACTTTATATTTTGATCACTAGCAATGACAAGGGGTGTAAACTGTACTCTAAGGATAAATCAACTTTACTTAGTAAAATTAATTAACAAAATATGCTACCTACAATAAAATATTTTTGTGTAAAATAAATAATGTGTGAATTAAATAGTTCAATGATACAGCCATATTTATTCACTGATATGACACATCTTAGCTTAGAATAAATGCACAACAAAATGCAAAATAAAAATTAGCATGGACAGTTTGAAGTTCAAAGTTAGCCAACGTGGCTACATTTAAGCTTCTGCACAGAAGTATTACAACTTTGTGAAAAGTCAAACAGTAACACTGAAGGAAGCAAACCTATTCTTATCTAGATATACACAATTGAATTGATAATAGGCATATCAATTTTAAACAAGTAATGAACTTGAATAATGCAACTAATCTAATTGATGATCAATTACTACTTTTTTAAATTAATAATATGGAATGGAATAAAAAAAGTACTGTTGACTTTGTTGGATAGCTGAATGAATTGAAATTTACAGTTAATGACAGAATAATATACAGAGATTTAAAAAGATGTTAAAGAATAACAAAGTGGTATGAAATGGATAGAAACTCTAATCAAATAAAATGTGAAACATAAACAAGCAATAATCCAGCCCCTAGAAATGAAATTTGGGGAAGTGAGATGCACAAAAAGTAGTAAATGACCATAAAGACATGAAATTTTTAAAGATAAGCAAATGAACTGACTCGTCTCGCCTGTGGTCACTATAGCAGGAGCACTTGGAGGTCCACGGCCGATGTTATTGACAGCAATGACGTACATCTCATATTCAGTATATGGACTCAATGATCGAACAGAATAGTACATTGTGATAATCCCTGAGATTTCACTGAATGCCTGATTGGCATATTTGGGTTTATATTGTATCACATAGTACTGAAGATCCTCAGGTCCAGTGTACGACCAAGTAAGACGAACAGATGTTGCAGTGATTTCAGATACTCTGACATCTGTAGGAGGTCCTGGCAAAGCTGAAAACAAACCACTTGATGAAGAAATTAACAATATCAATATTTCCTGTAAAATTTGCACAAGACCCTGATATTACAAAGTAAAAATATTCAGACCTCTTTTTCTACTGAATATTTCATTTGAAATATCACATAACTTTCAAATAAAAAAACAGAGAAAAGAAATATTTTTTAAGTATCAACAAAGCATAAATTAATAGACCAAAATATAATTGTTGTAATATATTTGTAAATATTTTATTTGGTCTTTTTTTAAAACATTGAAACTTGCATTTATACATTACTTATTGAAATTTAATAATATATTTTCCTACCATAAATCTTCCTTTAATGATTTAGAAGATACCTACACATGTGGAACAACAACACTTACTTTTCACTTTAACCTGAGTTGTAGCTTCTATTACACCCAAAGCACTTGCTGCAACACAAGTGTAATTTTCTGACTCCTGGATATTAGTCAGAAATAGTACATTACGACCAATAGGCAATTTGTCTTCAGGTGTTATGTCATTAGCCAACCCTCTTCGCCATTTAACAAAAGGCATTGGAGAACCGACAGCTACACAGGTCAAGTTTAGATCTGTACCCAACATCACTTCATGCACAGGCAGAGGAGGAATAGAAAACTGTGGTGGTACACGACGCACTGTAAATTGAAGGGGAAAAAATAAATATTTTTAAAAGAACAAAACCATGGGTGATTACATACATTATGAATTCTGAATGGTCATATTGAAATAAAAAAAAATATAATCTAATGTAAGTTAAATTACCCATAACTTTCATAATTTCACTGCAAGTAAAAAGAAAATGCAGTACAATTTAATTGAAAATTCTCTTTTATGTTTTTGTAATACTGGTAAACCTTATTGAAATGAATACATGAATCATTTATTACATACCTTTCACATACAGCATGGTATGATGTGAATATTCAGTTCCTACTGTATTTTCTGCTACACATTCATACTTCCCCTGATCTTCTTCTTCACTACTTGTGATTTGCAATGTTCCTGCCATAAAAAATATTCATTAGAAAATTACTGACAATAAAAAACCATAATTTAAAAGTGAAAAAATGTCAATAGAGTAACACCCAATGAAGTATCACTACAATGGTCCACTTTACTGACAAAATAAATTAAGCACGATATTTAAACAATTTATTGAATAAATGTTCTTTGTTTTAATTTACATTATTTTAAATTATAAAGAAAGAGTATGTACTTTTACTTTGCAGATAGTGATACACATTTAACAGTATTTATAAAAGTTTCTTTCATGAATCTCTTGTGTTTCAATACTGAAAAAGGATTTGAAACATATCTTAAATAATTTATGAAAGATTTAATCTTTGGTGTATTTTACTGAAAATTTTGTTGATCTTACTATCAATAATGATAGCAAGCTTCAATAATTGCTTTATAATTAATGACAGAGCATAGTTACAATATCTGAACTATTATGACATAAATTATTTGAAAATATCATGTATAAGAAGTTGCAATTTTGAAATGGCAAATAAGTTTACTTTACATTTTACTCATCCTTAAACCTACAAAGTATTTGTATTTTAAAAGAAAACTAATAAAACTATAATTTGTAATTTAATTATGTTCTCCATCAACATAAGACTGAATTTAAAAGAATTGCCTATTAGATATTCAACAAACCATTAAAAAAATATTGGTGTTTGTAATACAACACAAGAAGCTTGGACCAACCATAAAACTGCTCTAATGGTACCCTTGCATTAAGTAAAATTAAAATTTGTATCAATTATCCACAATTAGCAATTTAAGAATTCTTAAATAAGACAAATATAACAATAAGTTAAGAAAGTATTTATGCAATGTTTTTGTGACAAATGTGATAAACTGATATTCAGTTAAAATATTCTCATTGGAAAAATTATTAAAAAGAGAATAATAAAACAAATCTCAAAACAAGAAACGATATCTTTATCTTTCTCCAATTTACATAAATATCTAATGAAAAGATATTTGAAACTAATTACTTGCTGTTGATATACTAAGAACATTTTGTATTGACTATTCTAAATTATTAAAAAGGTGTTTGTTAATAGTAACAAAATATCAAATCTAATTTGTATACATATTTATACATGACAGAAAATGTTAATTTACATATCCGTTTTTAAAAGAAACTATTTTCAATTCTATAACTACAGTAACTGAACACTCAGATAGCAAATGAAGTGAGCACTAGCTGAAAGATTTGCTGATTAAAGACAGAGTATACACAGTGTTACATGAAATAGAAAGCAAAATTAATCATGCAGAACACAACTATGTAAAAGGCAGTTTGGCAATTTAAAACAATAAATGACCTAAAATCTACAGTTTTACTCTAATTACTAAAAAAAAATAAAAAAAAGAATAGTCAAGCTACAGAAAGAGCATATAAAAAGAAATAAATAAAGCTGTGGGCAACTCACCAAAACAACAAGACCAATTGTAGTCATATTTTATTGGTCTACAATTTTTTTTTAGAAGCAACAAGACCACACCAGCAGTACTATGCCAAGCACAGAGAAGAGGCAGATCTCTAGGCTGATACTATACCTGATAATTCCCTTTGACAAACTTGAGAATGTGCTTACAAAAGTGACATTTAAAATGACATATGAAGCATTGTCTTATGAATTGAAATCAGAAAATGAAACTTAAGAGTAGAAAGATGCACTCCAATTGAAAATATTGAGATCTACTTTCATCATTGAATGGTTAATTCATAAGTTTTCCTCTTGCAGAACATTTCTAACTAGAGAGAAAGAGGAAAACATCCTTTCAGTTCAAACATAAATATAACTTTATAACTTTTCAAACTATACTTTTTCATTAAGAATAAATTATCTTCAAAATTAATACATTTTCTTTTCTTTGAAAAACAACACTTTGGTTGACTAGTGGTAACGCCAATTTCTTATTTCACAGATAAATTCAATTTGTCTAGATTTTCCAAGGTGATATTCCATGAAATGAAGTGGAAGTGAGCAGAAAAGCACCTGTTACAATGATATTCGTTTTTTTAAATGACATATCATAATTTGACAAAAGATACATTTTATTACTCCCATCAATCTTTAAAACGCTATAGTGTAGATTTTATCGTTGAACATTTCATTGAACCAAAAACAAATCTTTTCAATAAATTGCACTTATGCATTACAAAAGCATAGACTCAAGTTTTTCACAGGAATATAAAAGGCATAGCCCAAACCTATACGATCTTGAAGTTAGTCAGCAGCAGCAGCAGCCACTAGCCTAACATACCTGGCATACCTGTTTCCAACACTGTGTAGCGAGAGTTTCCTTGTGTTTCTACCGGTAACATATCCCGCACCCACGATATTTTTGGTGGTGGGTTTCCAGCAGCAGAACACAGAAGAATGGCATTATGTCCAATTTCCACAACTTTTGTGCTGGGTGCCTGTGTAATCTGTGGGAATCCTACAGGGAGTTTATCCGCTGAAAAGAAAAGAAAAAAATGATATTAAATACCAGATGCATTTGCAAAAGCTACAATACAATACAAATATTATAAGCTCTGAAAGGAATACACAACTTTAATTTAAAAAATAGATTTCTGTAAAAATGTAATAAAATTTCCTGCAAAATTAATAACCATTTGCAAAAAAGGTGTCAAAAATTATTACAGAATACCAGTTCTATTTAAACATCACTTTCACACTTTTTTACTTTGGGTCACTCTTACACATTATATTAGAAAAAATATTCTTTCCACAACATTCCATACAAATGACACAAGTAATTGATAAACTGATTTTAAAATTTGAATGAAAATGCTTTATATCAGCGACTTAAATGAAGCACTAAGTTCTGAACAGTCTTTTAAAAGAAACAAAGCAAAATTAATTTTTTTTTTTTTATCTGGATTTGTTTACAAATTAGGAAAACAATATAAATTTCAGGAGAAATTTTCATTGCCACAAATAATTGAAGCATTTGCTATGAAAAATAGCACATTGCACTTACGAAAATTTTACATGAGAAATAATAATCACACGCAACTACTTCACACTAGAATTGGACGAGATATGTTCTCACCACATTTGAGATGCAAATAAGCTGGATTTCAACTACATTCTTTTGAGAACTTATGAAAAACCCTCAACTTAGCTAAAATGCAAAAAAGGAATTTTATGGATTGCTTTGAAAGCAAAATGCTTCAATTGTAAAGAGTTTGTAAAAATTCTAAGATTGTAAAGAGCTAATACATATAATATAACTCCTGAAGATGATAGAATTTAATCTTCAATTCTTTACTTCCAGATAAATACTACCAATCCTCACAAATTCTTTCCATTGTAAGTTATTTTCTTGAACAAATCTTTTTCAGAAATGAAGTGAATATGAAAATCTCAAAAAGAATAGTAGTTAAGAATATATTTTAAAATTAAACTGGCTTTCCTTGTTCCCTCAGAGAGAGTTTTTCTATCATTAGCCCATCGTACTTGCATTAAAGAAAAAATTATATTCCTATTATAATCATGGGATGGGATTGCAAAAACTTACTGTGTTATCACCAATTGTGAATGAATCATCGGATTGCCATTTTGTTTAACATATTCTACCCATTTTAGGGGATATGGCATTTTTTTTTAAATCATCACAATTAATTTTTATGCTTACACATTTTTTCACATTAAAAAATTGATCAAAATTTTGCCATAATATACACACACATTTTTTTCATCTGTAAGGTATTTTACACTAGTTTCCACATTACACCAAGGCCAACATTCTGGGGGCCTTGTGTAAAATGAAAATAATACATTAGGCACTCTTTTTTTTTAAGGAGTGCAATACATGACTTAGCCGGAAAAAGAATCCAGAAAAAAGAAACAGGTCTCAAAAGAGGACATGTCCAGGAAAAAGAGGACAGCTGGCAGTCCTACCTTAACCCAAATGCATTCTTGTTTTTCAATAATTCTCCATTACATCTCAACAACTCAAGTATTTTGATTCTACATCCAACATGCCCATTACATTCATCCTAGATGCAACAAACACCTACAGGCTGAGATATTGTAGGGGGTAGAAGTTCACATCATATTGTAGGTTCATCCTAGGTTCAAATTCTGAAGGCAGATTTTTCAGGCCATCTAATAGTTGAGGATGCTTTATTGGAGACTTTATTGTCTGGGAAAGAATTGCGGAGAGTGGCTGCCATGATCGTTTGTTTCATTAGTACCCTCTGATAATTTCAGGCTTGTGCTGAAGTACCCTTAAATTAACTACTCGCAAACCTACCTTCCCCATCCTGACCTCAACTTTATCTCCCATGTCTGCCTCCTCTCTTGTACATACACAGAAACACACATGAGGAGGCTATGGAAAGCTTAAATTGGAACTCAACTGGAATATCTGGGGCGGCGTTCCTGCTATGATTGAGTTAAAAAGGATTTTCTGACACCCACTACACACACACATGGAGTAATAGATCAAAAGTAGTCGCAGTGCCGGCATTAAATGATATTGATTAAAAACACTTTTTTTTTCTCTCTTACTGTCGCTATATTTTTTCCATCTGTGTGCTTCTCGCATCAGGAGTGATCCACAGGGTTCGGATATCAATGCAAATGTATATTTTTTTATCCCTACATTCAGAAAGTACTATGCTTAGTTGGTAAGTTTCAAAAAACCAATTTCGAATCATAGGAACTTGATTTTGTCGTGCATATAGTGCAAATTTTACTGTTTTCTTAATATCCAGTATGTATCTTCAAATTGCTAATTATTCAGACATTTTCCCTGAAAACTTTTATTGTTGTATCGTAATACCGATTATGTGTCTGAATTATGCAAGATATTGATCGGTAAATCATGATCGTTTCGATTAATAGGGGCTCTCAAATCAATCTTGAAAGTTGGTAAATGTTGACTAACTGCTGAACACAACTTGTACTGTCCAATATATCACAGCAGGAATTCCTCCACAAATGAAAGAAACCGATGACGGAAGATGGGAGTGAAACAGAAATAAATTTATCTTTACGCGTTACGGGATACATTTATATAGGGTACGGATAAAGTCCGAAATATTTCTAATTTGCTAATTAGACCTTTAATTTTCACATTACCAAGACGTTCTTCATTTACGTATGAATGGATCGTTTGCGATCGTACGGTTAATGCTGGCATTAGCTTAAGGTCGCTCGCTAAAATCAGGTGATTGTCGGAATGTCAGCGTCTTGCGTGTTAGCGGAAAGTATTTAGGCATAAAAATGCCTTGGAAATTTTAGTACGTTGCACAGGTTTTTAATGAAAATCTCGAAGACCGACGGCTGGAGACTCGTCGTTCCAACCCGAAAATGTGAAGCGAAGCGGCAAATGTGTATAGAGAGGTTCGGTTAGGTTAGATCGTATCGTATAAATAGGAATTTACGACTGACACAATGCAACTAGAAATTAGACATGTCTCTCACAAAGCTTTAGAAACTTCCCACCACTAGTCTGATTTCTATCACATACTATATGCGCTATTCCTCGCCACGTTCTTCACTTATCCTAGCCACTTCATGTCTGCTACATATGCACTTTATCCAAGTAAAGACTGCAGTATGCTTTGAAACTTCCCTACCTCTGTCTTAACCCACCCATGTTAGATAGTGAGAACATTAAAACCAGCTCATTCGCGAATTAGCAATATTCAAGCATTAATCGTATCACGAACACATAATATGGTGTCTTTTAGAGTATAATTTCGAAGTTTTTATTGCTCAAATCAGAGGTTCCCAACGGGGTCGTTGAAATTTTGAAGGAGTCGATGATCAAGGTGAGATGGGGTGATCGATTGGGTTCAATAGCCGAATAAAAACTGGCAACTGATTGGTATAATCAAGATCAAGATGTCATTAATTGCAAAAGGTTCTATTGAAAACAATTGCAATAACAAATTACAAATTCGCGTGTCTTCTGTCCTAGGTAGACTGGTGCTAGGCGTAGCTAGGCTGGAGCAACTAACGCATTTCACTAGGGCCCCAAAGTTAGTAGGCTATAGTAAGGATCCCCCCTGACAAGGTTCGGGAAAGAATGAAATAAATCGCATCCCAGGCTTATTTTCTGCATAATAATGCACATTCTTAAGACAATTTGACTTAAATTTCTTTATTTGACACATAGCACCCGCAGATAGGGGCCCTGTTTTGACTTTCTGCACCTGGAGTCCCCACTGCCTATAATACCTTTTAGGATACTTAGACAACTCGAGAAATGATTACTACCTACTTATTCCAACGTTGAAGGGCGTTACTCTATCGTTCAAAAAGTCTTTTCCAAACTGCACTAATGTAAAGGAGAGTTCTTAAAAAACTCTCATTTGGTAAACATTAAACAACAATGTAGATTATAAACTCAGCCTCTCAGAAGCTGAACCCTTTCCATGATTGAAAATCGAGATATTCATGAAAACATTGATATTCGAAATGGTTATACTTAAGTCTTTTGTGTTCAATTCTTTGTATTATGATTAAGAATGCTGGGCAGGGGGTCGTTGAAACAAACAATTCTTTTAAAAGCGGTGAATACAAGACAAAAGTGAGGAATCTCTGGCATAAATTATTCATATTTAATGCAATATTAGAACATAAATCCGATCTCTAATGATGGTATCGAATTTACACGAGTTCACTGCAGCTCCAGCGTGGTCACTCTCGTATGCCACACGTGGAGACAAAGGAAGTTCATGCGATGGAGCGCTTTACTAGCCTTCCGGGAGCAGGGAAAGGGGTGATGAGGAGGCGGCCAAGGCGTAGTAAACAACACAGACTGCGAGAGTGGTGAGAAGGCGAAGACATCGCCTCGCCGCGCTCTGCCGCCGCAACCGGCCGCCCGACGGCAGCGCCACGGAGACGCACGGGGGAGGGCGATAGGGGGAAGGGGTTCAGAGGAGCGGGAGCACGCGCAGCGGGAGTCCCACAGTACATTGCCGCAGGGGGATTTCGCCCCGTCCTCTTTCCGGAGGAGTGTTAGAGTATATTATTAATATTTACGTGAGTTGGCGCTTGGAAGCAGGGGGCAGCAACCACCTTGATGAAGGGCCGCGGGGCCAGGCAAGGCGGCCACTAATAATGGTAACAGGATTTGTGGAGGCGGGGTGCAACGGCAGCGGCGGCGGCGGTGCGCGCTGGCGGGGGTGGAGCGAGGCGGGACGGGGAGGGGGAACGAGAGCGAGCGTGGCGGGCGGCGGGGGAGGCGACGCAGTGTGGTCCGTGTGCGTTAACGCAGAGCCATGGCTCCGGGGGGGACAGTGGCGTCACGCGGCCGTGCCAGCTGTCCTAATAAAATGTTTCGGGGCTGACCTGAATGTAATGCGCAGAAATGGAACTCTCGTCCTCGCAGTCGGGCGGGCGTATAAAGTTAAGTCCTCCGAAAGAACATGTTCCCTAGCTTTGGCGTATATACAAGCGCTCTATGATATATGCTGCTCTCCTGTTTTATTAACTTTTTTTTCTTCCATTGAGGTTCTCGAAGTGCGGAGTTACCAGTATGGAATTCGGTGCCAGTGTGGCAAAAGATGATAGTATGTGATACCGAAAATATACACACTCTTACAGAAATGAAATGAATACTATGAAAACAATGACACGAAAGTGTAAAGATTATATTGCAATGCATTCCGATGAAGATGTGCAATCAGTTATTTGTTGTTAGACTAGCTTATCATATTTCCGCTTTGATACGAAAATAATTTTTATGGCATAAATCAGAAGTTCGTTTATCCTAGAATTCCAAAACATTCATGAAAATTGAACTTATAATTCGAACGCCACTGATTGTATTCATTTTAATACCTCTTTATTATTGCGTAGAACTTGCTAGTGGAAAACAAACACATAGGAAGTTCTCAATGACGAATTTACTCGTAATATACACAATAATGAATCAGGTGAATAAACTTTTAGTTCAGGTACATTTAAAACGAGAAACTGGTATTGTAATCCAAACAATGGACGTTTCGTTGAATGAGATGCAGAAAATATGTAGTACTCGTATAATAATACAATACAAATTCAATTTCACATTCGAAATATAAATGGAAAAATTACACATTTTCCGTTAATTTCAAACACCCAAACAATTAAAAATGCACACATAAACTAACAATATAGTATTTAATTGTAACTTTCTGGCTTAATATCATTCGGCACGCCTATTATATGATATATTGCCATTAAGATTACAATTTTTGGATTTCATGTGTTATAAACAAATAATTAACTAACTAATGACTGAAGTTAGGAGTGTCTCAAGGCATATAACACATTTAGTCGTAATTACAAAATGTACATATGAACAAATTCAAGAAATACGTATTAAAAGTATACCATATGACAAAATAAACACTATATGTCACGCATTTGCACGTTATGCTGCATACGTTCATTAAAATCAAATACGAAGAAAATAATGTTTTAAGCAGTCTCCGTCGGGTAATCATAACGCGAATCTTGTGTAAATATATTCTCTCTCCTCCTTTTTCGGCTCGCAGACCTTCTGCCTTCAGGAAGGTTATATGCTCTTAATGCTGTCTAGCTAATGGACTTGCTTTCCCGCTGTGAAGAATGGCCAAGTGTATTTTGCGGACTGCCAGCATCGTCATGGCATTATTACAACTTGCACGATATATTCGGGAACCACTTGGCGACGAAAAACATCGAGTCTTCCCACACATGTCACTAATCGTAAAACTCTGATTGTCACTAAGAATGTACAAATGGCATTTATCAACAGTGCCAAGTAATAAGGTGGTGATGACGAAATTAAGGATCATGGATCAAGCGACAATGAAAGGTAAAACGCCGATGAGAGGTTAAATTTCCAACGCTGTTTTTTAATAAGCCCCACTCCCGCGCCGTCATGAACGGCAGACTATGGCTTAGAATAGTTGGCTTAAGATAGCTGTCATGTACATGAATTTACTTTTTTTCCCGTTTAGACATGGGTTTCCCAACGGGGTCGTTGCCGACCCCTATAGAGGTTGATGAAATTTTTAAAGGAGTCAATAATGATCTAGGGGTCGGTTGGGGGTCGATAGTCTAGTTTACCTCGGTATCTGATCTAGATCAAGATCTCATTAATGGCAACATATCGTATTAATGAAGTTGATTATTTGGTTTCTGATATTATTTCTATTATTTGTTTCCATATAATAATAAATAACTAATTTGCTCCTCTTTTGGAAATTAACATGAATGAAAATAGAAATTTTGTGCAATTAGAATAAGTGATTTTGCTTCTGAAAACTTGTTTATACTTGT